CAGTGTACCCCTTACGTTTTTTTTTTCGGGCGAAAAATTAAGTTTCTCCAATCTTCCCAAAACTCTGGATTCTGATAGAGGGCCATGAGACTTAGACCTGAGTGCAAAAATTGAGGCTCTAGACCCTTCCAGAGCTGAGATATCGAAACTCAAAAATTCGACCCGAAAAAAAAAAACGACAGTGGTACCCCTTACGTTTTTTGTTTTTTTTTCGGGCGAAAAATTAAGTTTCTCCAATCTTCTCAAAACTCTGGATTCTGATAGAGGGCCATGAGACTTAGACCTGAGTGCAAAAACGGAGGCTCTAGACCCTTCCAGAGCTGAGATATCGAAACTCAAAATTTCGACCAGAAAAAAAAAACGACAGTGTTACCCCTTACGTTTTTTTGTTTTTTTTTTGGGCGAAAAATTAAGTTTCCCCAATCTTATAAAAACTCTGGATTCTGATAGAGGGCCATGAGACTTGGACCTGAGTGCAAAAATGGAGGCTTTAGACCCTTCCAGAGCTGAGATATCGAAACTCAAAATTTCGACGAGAAAAAAAACCCCACAGTGTTACCCCTTACGTTTTTTGTTTTTGTTTTTTGGGCGAAAAATTAAGTTTCCCCAATTTTATCAAAACTCTGGATTCTGATAGAGGGCCATGAGACTTAGACTTGAGTGCAAAAATGGAGGCTTTAGACCCTTCCAGAGCTGAGATATCGAAAATCAAAATTTCGACCAGAAAAAAAAAAACGACAGTGTTACCCCTTACGTTTTTTTTTGGGGGGGGGGCGAAAATTTAAGTATCCCCAATCTTCTCAAAACTCTGGATTCTGATAGAGGCCCATTAGACTTAGACCTGAGTGCAAAAATGGAGGTTCTAGACCCTTCCAGAGCTGAGATATTGAGATATTTATAATGCGTTGAGTTTGCCAATCGTGCTGTTTCATCTCACTCACCAATTCTGTTATCATGTTTGAATAACCTTGATCACGAAATGGCGAGCTAAAGATCCACCGCGTCTGCAAAAGTTAGGCTGTAACTGAATTAAAAACAAAAACTTACGACAGTAACGAAAGTACAGTATTCAATGTAAATAACATGGATGGGCTGAACGTATAGACGTAATGTCTTCGTAATGCATACCTATATGCTGTCAATAAAAAAATCAGAGAATGGATGATTTGCGTTTTTTTTTTTTTTTTTACTTTCCAGCCATTGGTGGAATTTGATTTGTGTATCATAAGTGTCTGCGTTTATAAAAGTAAAAAAAATAAATAAATAAAAAATCTCACCAGAGCTGAGATATCGAAACTAAAAAATTCGACCCGAAAAAAAAATCGACAGTGGTACCCCCTACGTTTTTTTTTTTCGGGCGAAAAATTAAGTTTCTCCAATCTTCCCAAAACTCTGGATTCTGATAGAGGGCCATGAGACTTAGACCTGAGTGCAAAAATGGAGGCTCTAGACCCTTCCAGAGCTGAGATATCGAAACTCAAAAATTCGACCAGAAAAAAAAAACAGTGTTTACCCCTTACGGTTTTTTTTTTTTGGGCGAAAATTTAAGTATCCCCAATCTTCTCAAAATTCTGGATTCTGATAGAGGGCCATGAGACCTGGACCTGAGTGCAACAATGGAGGCTCTAGACCCTTCCAGAGCTGAGATATCGAAACTCAAAATTTCGACCAGAAAAAAAAAACGTCTCAGGTTACGACTGTAACCTATGTTCCCTGAGAACAGGGAACGAGACAATACGTCGAATGACGCAATGGGGAACGCCTCAGGCGTGACAGGTGTCTGAAATCAAATATCAACTCACAGTAATCAGGTTGACCGGCGACAGCCCGTGCATCATCAGCTTGAATGATGAGCGCGTCAATCTGGATGTATAAGAAGGGCGCCTTGAAACCGTGACAACATCCTATCGTCTGAAGGGACTGTTGCAGGCAGGCCCCGAGGCATGGCAACGAGACGTATTGTCTCGTTCCCTGTTCTCAGGGAACATAGGTTACGGTCGTAACCTGAGACGTTCCCTTTCGAAGGGAACTCAACAATACGTCGAATGACGCAATGGGGAACGAAATACCCACTCCGCCATGCTGAGGGGAGTGCATGCCGAAAAGGCAGTGACAACTGTCAGAACCAGTAATTCCAAGGAACACTGAAACCACTCACCCTATGTTACATCGGGCTGTCAGTGACAGCACTCCCTACCGTCATAGCCCAAGCTAATGAACCAAGAAAAACCAGAACGTAATAACGTGGGTAAATCGGGCCAGCTCAAAGGCTTTAGGACCACAACTTCAAAATAGAAGGGGTCCCTTCTGGGGGAGTGTGGCTAGGGGCCAAAGGGACCCCCAGCCAGTCACTATTCAGGAGAACACTCCTCCTGAAATGCCCCCAGGCTGGCCTGGTGATCTGTACTAAGACACACAGTCTGGCCATAGCCTGTCCGTCCAAGACAGAGCCTCTGGAAATTGCCTAGGAAAGGCATCCAAAAACTGAAGGCCCGCGAAGCTGGCAGAAACCATCAAGTTTCGGATCACAGAGACGGGATCCTCCGGAGAGTGTGACTCAACCTCAAAACAACGGGAATCGTACACTCAATCCACGAGTTTCCACCCAGTGCTCGCTTTGAGCACTGAGGAAGTAAGAGAGGGATCAAAATCAGGAAGGTCAATGAGACCTAAGACCTGATGACCCCCTGTGTGGGGAGCTCTGAAACATGAGGGCTCATGTCAGGAAGGCCGTACACTGTGCGGCCTGAAACCCAACGACCACAGCATGTGGAAGCTCATCCTTCAGGAAAGCCAGAGGCTAGAAACCTGACAGACCCACAATATGGGGCTACCTCGAAACAGGTCTAATGAGACCTAAAACACCAGTTGTGGAGATAGCTTGAACAAGGGAAGTGCCTGTCGTAATGTATTGCGACAAAGACACATCTAGAGTGGGACCCAAAGTGAAGAACCGGAGTCTGAACCACATAAGAAGGGACCGAAGCATACTGCGCGTGACCCTCACCATAAGAAATGGATTTTAAAAAGTGCACAAGACATCTCGTCGGGTGACTTACCACAATAATAGGTGAAGTATGGGTTTGTGTACTTCACTCTGAATTCATGAAGGCCCGTTGAGGCCTGTAACCTGGCGACCACAGTGTGTGGGAGCTCATGGCCAGGAAGGCCTGGTAAGGCCTGTAACCTGGCGACCACAACAAGTGGGAACCCATAATCAGGAAGGCCTGACAAGGCCTAACACCCGATAGTCCCAATGCATGGGGAGCTCACATTCAGGAAGGCCGCTGAGGCCTGCAGCCTGACATGTGAAGACTCACCACTACAACTTAGCGACCACGAAAAGTGGGGGTTTCACATTCAGGAAGGCCTGGTGAAGCCTGCAACCTGATATGTGACAACTCATAACCAGGAAGGCCAATGAAGCCTGAAGCCTGGTGACCACAGAGTGGGAGCAAAGTGCTCAGGAAAGGTGGTGAGGCTGTATTCTGGCTACCGCGTATGTGGGAGCCCACATTCAGGAAGGCTGGGTGAGGCCTGTAAACTGACTACCACAGTATGTGGGAACTCATAACCAGGAAGGCCTGGTGAAGCCTGTAACCTGGCGACCACAATGTGTGGGAGCTCATAACCAGGAAGGCCTGGTGAGGCCTGTAACCTGGCGACCACAGTATGTGAGAGCTCGTATCCTGGTGACCACAGTATGTGGGAGCTCATAACCAGGAGGCCTGGTGAAGCCTGTAACCCAGCGACCACAGCATGTGGGAGCTCACAACCAGGAAGGCCTGGTGAGGCCTGTAACCTGGCGACCACAATAAGTGGGAGCTCATAACCAGGAAGGCCTGGTGAGGCCTGTAACCTGGCGACCACAATAAGTGGGAGCTCATAACCAGGAAGGCCTGGTGAGGCCTGTAACCCGGCAACCACAGTATGTGGGAACTATAACCAGGAAGGCCCCTTTGAGGCCTGTAACGTAGCGACCACAATGTGTGGGAGCTCATAACCAGGAAGGCCTATTGAGGCCTGTAACCTGGCGACCACAGTATGTGGGAGCTCATAACCAGGAAGGCCTGGTGAGGCCTGTAACCTGGCGACCACAGTACGTGGGAGCTCATAACCAGGAAGGCCTGGTGAGGCCATTCAAATTCAATCATCTCATTCAAAATTAAGTTTCCCCAATCTTCTCAAAACTCTGGATTCTGATAGAGGCCCATTAGACTTAGACCTGAGTGCAAAAATGGAGGTTCTTGACCCTTCCAGAGCTGAGATATTGAGATATTTATAATGCATTGAGTTTGCCAATCGTGCTGTTCATCTCACTCACCAATTCTGTTCATCATGTTGAATAACCTTGATCCACGAAATGGCGAGCTAAGATCCACCGCGTCTGCAAAGTTAGGCTGTAACTGAATTAAAAACAAAACTTACGAAAGTAACGAAAGTACAGTATTCAATGTAAATAACATGGATGGGCTGGACGTATAGACGTAATGTCTTCGTAATGCATACCTATATGCTATTCAATAAAATCAGAGAATGGATGATTTGCGTTTTTTTTTTTTTTTACTTTCCAGCCATTGGTGGAATTTGATTTGTATATCATAAGTGTCTGCGTTTATAAAAGTAAAAAAAAATAAATAAATAAAAAATCTCACCAGCCCTTAAAATAGCTAGCCTATATTTTCCTTAAAATAGTTTAAAAAAAAATATTAAAAAAATAGCTCATTTGGCGTTTGGAACTAATTTTGGACCTTAAGCGACGTAATAGGCCTACACAATAACGCATCATGTGTAATGCATCGATGACCATTCAAGAGAGTAGCTAACTTCAGCTCCCATTGTCTATTATTGACTAATGATGGTTCTATAATGAATGATCATTCTCAGTGGTGTGACAAAACAATCCAATATTTTCACCATTAAAATAAATCAATCAAGATCAAGAAACTGAAAAAGAGTTTGACCCACTATAGTGCTTAATGCAAATGAATGGAGCCATATTTGAGAATAGGGTTATTTATTCCGACACAGCAGCAGCAAACTTGTCCCATGTGCCTTTATGTAGTCACTGATGTCCAAATATCATTTATTAAAGGAACACAGCAACAACACAATATTTCACTACATGACTTCAAGAGGGCTGCTTATTCGCATAAACGTGTCAAAATGTTAGTTTGGCTTTGATTTAAAATTAATAACATTAATAACAAAAACCTAATAACATTAAATAATAAAAATCTACATCATTAAAAATATACAACATAAACAACCCAGAATATGGGGGACAAATATTATAAAACAAAAATAAAAGTGCAAGATTATCAAACAAATTCACTTGTTAATTGAAGTTTAACAAGCCAATGTGCCAATGCCCAAAACATTTAATCTAATGTTTCTTTCAGCACATAGACTGAAGTGTAGATTCCCTTAAATCTACATTTAAAAACTCAATACTTTGATCATGCCATCAATCCAGAGGCAGTGCACTCACAAGGGCTGCAAAAACTGTCAAATTCAAACATCAACCACTTTAAATGACGGACTTACTTGACAGCATTTACAAAGGCAGTTTACATTGACTTGGTTTTGATATTTGCACGAGCAGCTGAATTTTGATACAGTATTTGCAGCAGGCCATAAAAATATCCATATTTCAGCCAAGCATTGGACTGCATGTACATCTCACTCCAACATTTTCCACTCTTACAGGTTTCACTCAGCAGTTTGCAATGATACATTAATGACTTAAATAAAAAAAAAACTGCATCTATTTCTAGAGGCTAGATTCAAACAGGCAAGTACAGACGCACTGTGATTGTGCTAAGCGGACACACAGAGATGCTATAAAATCTCAGGAAGGCCACAGGATAGATCACATGACACCACTGAGTCTGTGTTTTTCCAATTCTGTGTGATGTGGTTCAGTGTTTGATAAAGGTTACTGAATGGAAGTCCATATGTAGCCAAGCACACTACAGCAAAGCATCACATCCCAATATGGCTCACGATCATGAGACGCACAGACACATGGCACTGGCAGTCAATCAGTTACTATGTACATAAAAAGGGTTTGCATTTATCTCAGCCACACACTGTGAATCAGAACTGTCATAAATACACAATCATACCAATAAAACAGAAGCACAGCGTCATACATTAATAAATGCACGTGTTGTTTCCCTCAGAGCTGGCTCTACGTGGCCTGTGTCCAGAGTGTGACAGTGCGGTCAGCGGAGGAGGACAAGAAGGAGAGGTGGTGTGTGTGCCACCTGCACTGGATCACCTTATCCGCATGCTCACCCGCTACAGTCAGCGGCAGCGGCTTCGTCAGGTCACCTGTGCACACATACAGTAAAATGATCAAAAAAATCATTTCATTTTTTTTAAATGTTTCAAAAATGTTACAATACATATTTACACTGCATCATCTGCATAGGTTATACACTGCATTATAAGTGTGGCGGACACTTCAACAAACTATAAAACAGGTTCCCGCCCTTTTTGACCAATGAACTTCTTCAGTTATTTGACAATATCGGATATCCTACAGATAAAAAAAAATAATATATATATATATATATATATATATATATATATATATATATTTAGATTAAACACATAAAGAGCCATTTCAAACTTATTACTGTAAATATTGTACAGAAAAGCACAACTGGGAACAATATATATTCACTATAATAATTCCTTTTTTGTTTGACTGTGGAAACCCTGATAATTTTTTTGTGTGTGTGTATGTGTTAGCCTTTTGGCACACACCGAATAAGGAGAAAAGTGAAAATTTATGCCAAAAAAATGCAATATTAATACTTTTAATTGTTTTTTCCATTTAAATTATTTTCCATTATGCACTCTTAACACTCTCTAATATATATGTGGTAAAATATATTAAAATGTAATAAATAAATATAAAGGTTTAGAGGAGGGTTATAGTTAACTAAATCTAAAACCATAAAAAAAAAAACATTTTACTTGAAATAAAATAAACTTTTAACTGAAATAAAATAAAATATAATAAAAACTTAAATCAAATAAATTTGAAATTAAAATAAACAACTACAAAACACTACAAAAAGTACTAAAACTGTAAAGTACTAAACTTGAAAATGTTCCAAAACTTGTAAAATGAAAACATAAATGTATATATAAAATTAAAACTGATTCAAAATATTAATAACAGTATCTCAATGATACTAAAATAACACTAGTTTGATCAACTTAAGTTGCCGGGATGATTCCGGTTCACGTGGCTACGCCTAAACAATAAAATTCTGTAGTATAAATTTCAAGGCCAGACAAGTAGTTTGTTGAGGGTTGTTTTTTTAGGGAAGGACTACATGCCTGCACAAATGTATTCAAATGCGCATACCTATAGATTTAACTCCTAATAAGCATGTGAACGCCATCAGCATTCTCACAGGTTTGCGTTTTTAAAGTTTGCGTAGAGTGAGTTTTCTGTTAAAACGGTGTCGTGTTAGCGGCCCCTAAGTTAAAGGGATACTTCACCTTTTTGTCATATGAAACTATGTTTTTCCCTTAACTAAAACGAGTTGATACATACCTCTCTCGTCTCAGTGCGAGCACTCAATTGCTCTGGCGCACAAGACACTTTGATAGCACTTAACTAGCCGAGTTAATTTAATATCGGCCAAGCACAGAAGCGACCAAACACCTCCACATTTTCCCTATTTAAATACAGTTACTCGAGCAGTGTAACTCGACCTAGGATGGTGACACAAAATAAAACGTTGCACTTTTCTAAGCGTGTAAAGTGGATAACTATAATGTATGTCGGAATACCACAGAAAGTGCTTGGGAGCAATTCGACTTGGCGCAGTAAAACTCTCCCCCCTCTCACTCTCCGGAGTGATGATATTACTGCGCCGAGTCCATAGATAAATATGCGCCACAGTGTATCCCAGTGTAAGGAGTATCCCTTTAATAACTAATGATCGTTGCGACGGAAGTGAATCAATTAAAACTAACTTTAGCAGGAAAATAACTTTATTCTAGAGCTGTTGTAGCCCAAACAATCCCTGTTGCTTTGACTTCCTATTATAACTGTAAAGCAGCTTTGGAACAATCTACATTGTTAGAAGCGCTATATAAATGAAGATGACTTGACATATATTCAGTTCAATAACAGAAAGGGGCATCTTTAATCTCACCTTGTAGGTCAGTGACGATGACCTTGGTGTCGTAGGATCCCGTGAGCAGGTAATGAGCCCCGGGGGAGAAGCGCACCGATCGGACATCGCTGGAGTGCGGTTGATACGTCTGAACCATGCGCCCGCCTCTGATGTCATACAGCATACAGGAACTGTCCTCCTGCCCTGTCGCCAGCAGGCGCCCGCTCGGGTCCACCGCCACTGATGCCACAGGACTGCCTGAGACACACACAAAGGATACACACCACATCAACAATCACAAACTCAACACTACAATTCAACAACACTGACCAAAACTGACTACCTAGACTGTGAATGTGGAGACAAAATTTATATTCATTTTATTTAGTCAAAAGCTTCTCACAATATTTCTGAATGGGGCATAAAGAGGCAATATAATGTCATACACTGTTGTAATTATTTTCACTGTAGTATGCTTTAATTGTCCAACACAATATTTTGAAACAGGGTTTTTATACAGGGTTTATAATAGTTAACTAAAACTAAAGCCACAAAAAACCTTTATTACTCAAAATAAAATAAACTTTAACTGTAATAACATTTCTTTCCAGTTAGTTGCTGGGGCAACTTTGTCATTTTCATTAAATTTAACCTCGTACTAAAATAACCAAAACAGAAACAAAAAGAAATAAAAAAATATTTCTGAAAATAATAAAAAATATTTTATTTTGGAATAATAAAAATCCAAAATTGCAAAGGGCATTAGTATGTGATTGTGATATGGCAGCCATACGATGTTCCCAGTGAATCAGGTCAGATATACAGTCAGAAAAACCGGGTCATACCAGCTCAGGTGTTTTTTATTTTTATTTTATATATATATATATATATATATATATATATATATATATATATGTGTGTGTGTGTGTGTGATATACCAATTCTAAATAGCTTGACCAAAATGGTCTACCAATAAGATTTCAGCCCCACTAGCATCTAATGAACCATCTAGACCAGTTTGAAGTAGCTAATGAGCATAAATGACCAGCATAGACCAGCTAGAAACCATGAACCAAAAACCATCAGAAACTGTTACTGGGTCATTTCACGTCAAATCAATCCCACCTGAGCCTTGGAAGGACGTCCCCACCACTCTCACACAGCTGGGAACACGTAGGTCCCAAAAACGCACGGTCTTATCCTGAGAGCCAGACGCGATCATCCAGCCCCCCCATGTGTACAGAGACAGAATATGACCTGAGGAGAGAAAACACACACATCACATAAGAACGAAAATATTTATGAGGATCTGTGTATTAGGGGTTGAACGACTTCAGATTTTTTGAAGTCGACTGTTATGACATCAAAGTCAAGTCGACGTCAAGTCGCTGACGTCATTCATACAAACACAAGAGATGTGACAGATTTGCAACATGCCACAATTTGCAATTAATTAACAGAAAATTATACAGACGCTAACAGCTCATAATGGGGCCGTTTACACCTGGACACTTCATGTGTTTTTACTGACCTGATTTATCAAAACGATTCCATTTACACATAAATATGTTTTCGCATCCGATCTTCAAACGAGCTGTATGCAGATTTAGCGGAGTTCACAGCACCGAAAGCAACAGTAATGAGCTGCATTTTATTGATCATCAGCTAATTTCACAATGAAAGACCGCAATAAGAGAGACAGCACTGGTAAGATCATTTTGTTTCTTTACTTTTAACGAAGATGATTGTGTGTTAAGCGTCTGTGACTTACTTTCACTTTGATTTACGATAGTTTGCGCGTTGGCTTTATGAATAGATGCTCAGCTGCGGTGCGTTTTATAGCTTCGTCATATAATGAACATAATAGCACAGGCTGCTCTCACACGTTTTATTTCAGCATTTTTGGGAGAAGTCCAATTTACATATGCGGTTTCAACAACCAGATACGAGTCCAGTTTCGTCTGTAAAGCGGCCCAGACCTCCTCATGAAGTGGTTTGAGCGATCGGATTTAAATCCGTCTCCAATGCGTTTCGGAGGGCTTTTAGCTTACACCTGGTCTTTTCGCGATCGGATAGCAATCAGATCACAGAAACACAGATGTAGCTAAACAGCCCGCTGTTTACATCATCACTTAAGATGAAAAGAAAAAAAAAAGCTATAAATTCACATCTGCACGTTAGTGATGGATCTAAGTAATACCAAATAATATTCCAATTGATTGCGGGTGAATTAGATGCATTAATATGTTTAAATAAATATATGGAAAAAAAATAGGCTAATGTTTGAATGATTTTAAAAGAGACTGCTCTCATTTCCCGGTAAAACAGAGAGCGTGCGTCATGCTTTTACTTTCGTTTTCAACAATATAGTGGTGCTACATTAGTAAAGTATTCCCATACGCTTTATGTGCCAATGCTGCTTTCTTGCTGCAATGACCCTCTGGGCTCTTCATCTGTTGTCGTCTTTAACGCGGCCATATACTATTAAAATTAGCGCAATCATATAGTGTCACATGATCAACGCGACTAGTCAAGCTTAAAGCGTCACGGCATTGCATTAAGGTCGACTAGTCGACTAATCGGCTAGTCGGTTCAACCCCTACTGTGTATATATGATATGTATGATATGATATGAGGTGTACCTGTGTGTCCACTCAGTGCATGCAGTCCCTGTCCTCTCTGGCAGTCGGTGGTGTAGATGTTACAGTCTCCAGCTCCTGCACTGATTAAAATGGCCCCTCCGCTCTCAGGACCCTCCATAAACGCCAGATCTCTGATAGTCCCATCATGCATACTGAACTCCAGATCAGGACCTGAATTTTAATATATAAAGTACAAGTCATTCAACCAAACTACATTAAATTCCTCTGAAGATTCATGAATGTTGGTTTGCAATCTTTCTCCCCTCACCTGTAGCATTGCAGGTTTCAGGGTTAAAGGGCAGCACTTTGACGTATTTGTCGTTGGAGCCGGTGGCCAGTAACTGTCCGCAGGGGCTCCAGGCCACACAATATATAGAGCCTTTGTGATGCTTGTTCCTCTTGAAGCGGATTGGAGGAGGTTTACTCGTGCACGAGCCACTGAACACGAAAAACAACAATACAAATATATAAAGAGATTTTATTAATATGTTTATTAAAAGGTTCTGATTCCCTACAAACGAACTGTCACACTTGGTTGATTCAGCCAGAACAAGTTACAATTGTATTAAAATTTATTTTCATTTGGAATAGCATGCAGTGATGAATCGTACACAATAAGACTTGGAAAGGGTGATCGATATTGATAAATAATGGCTCTATTTTCTGATGATATTATTAAGTTAGAATAATAAGACACTTTAGGCTGTTACTAATCAAATGAAATCAGTATCAACAAAATCCATGTTTGCACTGCATACAGAAGTGGCACAGACGCTAAGCAGCATTAAATGTATTTACACTGCAGTTATGATTGCGTTAATAATGTATTAATGTTTAAATAAAATATATTTCGGTATTGTAGTAAGTATTCAACTATAATACTTTACAAATAAAAACTAAAACAGCCAGTAGGTGGCGGCAAGTAACTGTGAGTCACTGAGTCATTCATTCAAACAGCTTATTCATTCAGGAACAAAGCAAGTGACTCTCTTTATGAATGGATCATTGAATCGTTCAAAATGCTTTGGCAAAAACAGCACTCATGCTGGTTTCTCAGACACTTTCATTTTCTAGTTTTTAAAATTAAAGTTGGGCAGCTGAAATGAGGATTTCAGGCCCTTGCTTGTATCCCATCATTTATAACGGATCTGATTCAGATCTTTTAAGCAGGTTTTAATGCAGTGTGTGGGCGGCTGACCTCGTGTCCAGAGTGTCGGGGTAGGCACACACGCGCAGAGTTTTAGAGTTGGAGCCGACCGCATATAATGTCCCTGTAGGGTGGAAGGCCACGGCGCGGACCGCCTGCGTATCCTCCAGGGTGTTGACCATCACAAACTTGGCTTTAGACGTCTCTTTCTGCAATATACGCATATAAACACACATTTGGCATGTGAGAAGGGTTATTTGAAGATTATGTTCATTTAATCTCAAATAATCCCTGAACAATCCCTAATCTTTCTTTGATCTGAGAAGTTTTAGAGCTGTAATTAAACCAACACTAAAGCTTTCAGAGGGAGAATGTTTTATTCAGTGAATGTTAACTCTGTAAAAAAGCCCAACATTTGAAACAAAAGTCTAAAAATTTGGCATACTTGTTTTTGGTTGAGTATCTAATTAGATAAATCAGACTTTTGAACTCATACTCAACAAGGGAAACAAATTTAATTCAGAGGCAAAATATGCAATTTGGTGCAGCTTTTATTTATAAGGCCAAAATATTTGTATGACATTCTGATAGCTCGTCAATAATGAGCTCTTTATAACTTTATTAACTTTACATAAAATTCCTATAAATATCAGTTGCCACTCCCCAACTCTCAATAATAAGTTCTAGTATCTAGTTTTATGATCAATTAGTTTTAGTTTTAATTGTTTGGGGGCAAAACTTATAATATAATACAATGATGATTGAAAGATGTATAAATAAATGTTCCTTAAAACCCATGCCATATTTGATGATGCTCACATTTTAACCAGATTTTTCTAAAAAGTTCCATCTTTTTTAAATTTTATTAACATTATAAAAGTAATATTTAAGTTTACTTTGTAAAAATCATTTTTCACACTTCACAGCAAACGTGGACCACGACCTGAAAGGGGACATTTTTAGAATGACAATAAAAGGCCTTTTACTTGCTAAAAAGTATGAACTACCAATCAGATGAGAGTATTATATATATATATGAAGCATTATATATTTGTGTATCAGTAGGCTTTATAGGGTTAAATAGGTTGAGGTGTACCTCTGGGCCTTTAGAGCGGGTCAAACTGCTGTCATTCAGTCCAGTTTTGTCTTCGGTGTGGACACTGCAGGTGAAAAGAAAACCTTTTTTAGAACCCTAAACATTAATAATCGCTAAAAACATAACCAAGCAAATTTCACAAATTTGATATGACAAAAAGCTTATATTTTCCTCAAAAACAATCTTACGTTTCAGGATTCACTAGAGTAGAAATTTTGAAACTCTTTGATTGGCTGATAAATGAACTGAGTGTGACTTGAAAGAGTTAGAGAACTGGTCTCTTCTCACCTCTGGGACAGTACAGGAGACTGGCTGGGCGGAGGGAGGGCTGCTTGCCCTGCTGACCTCTGAGGAGTGCTGGTGACCACATGACTGGCTCCTCCAACCCCTTCCTGTGTCTGTGGCTTGGCTGAGGCATCTATCGCTTCGCTGTTGTTGGTACTGCCTCCATTACACTGCTGAGAGAGAGCCTGCACCTCTTCTCCCAAATCATCCATTCCCACATTCAGCTCCTCCAGTCTTTGAATAGACCTGCATGCATACATACAAAAACATGAAGCTTTAGAGCCAACTTGGTGCCCACAGACTGCCCGCTGACTGTTCACTGCAAAAAGAGCTTTCTCAAAATCATTAGATCCTATTTAAATCAAAAATACAATTTGGCTTAATGGAGTAAGTCAGTAACTATTTTTTCATCTGAATTTTAAAATGAACTTTATACCATTACATAAACTTGAAACTTACAAGCCTTAAAACCATATTTTGCACTATTTTTACATGCTCTGGACCCTGGTTGCAAGTGGACCCAGGGTTTCATCTGAGACATTCACAATTACACTATAGAGATATATAAACTGTATGTGAATATGGCCACTGGTAATTTTACATGTCGCTCATACAGTTGCTTCCAGTCAAAGTGACCAGAATGAACTAATACTAATAGTTAAATGCCTGGCTAAATGGGACTAACTTCGAGCTAGCTCAAAAGATTTATTTTTAAGTTCTTATGATTACTGATGATCACAGTTGCTTTTTTAATAACATACACATCAAAGTGCATATAGCTTATGAAATGTATAAGTGTTTTCTTTGGGGATTTCTCCACCCACTGAAGGATCCATAGCTGCTCGCTGCACCATCTGTAGAAGCCGGAGGTTCATCTAATTAGCCTTTCATTTGATATTCCTCTTAATCTCTGCCAAACACAAGCCACGATTAACACAACTGGTCATTTCCTTGTGCCCAAGGGGGGTTTCCCCTCAAAATCCCCTGAAGCAGATGGCACGAGGCCAGTGTGAACACAGAATAGGTTTTTATTCGTTTTTAGATTATTTTTCTAATAAGCTATACTTGTCCTGATATATTTTCAAATTAACATCCTACATTTCTTTAATAACTCAAGACAAGTATGGCTTCTGTTGAAAGAACAATGAATGTTTCTTCTGCCCTGCCCTCCCCTCGGGTACACTGCATTATTTATGGTTGTGGACTTTAATGATGACATCACCAGTGGAACGGTACGGCAGAGTTCCAAAACCGCCCTTTGTTATGTTTCTGTGTTACAATTGTGCCGTAACCACAGCAACACAACTAGAGAAGTATCAAAGCCAAAAACACACACACACACACGCACACACACGTCCCCATTACAAAGGCCATCAAATGGGGGGCGGGGACCTTATGACAAGAGAGCCCCACAATACACCAAAAACTTTCTGGTTCAAAAACATTCTGATTTTCAAATATAACTTTAAGGCGTATTTCACCCAAAAATTTGAATTCTTTCATTTATTTACTCACAATCATGTTGAAAAAAACTTTTAGTTTCTTTAAAATATCTTTATTTGTGCTCCAAAGATGAAGTAAACTCTTGAGGATGAATATTAGATGCCAGAATTGTTTATTTTTTGGGTGAACTAACACTTAAAAGCTGGAACTAGAAAGAATAAAAAATAAAAGAAACACTAATGTCAGCTTGAGTTCTGCTGTCATTGAAGCAAAAGAAGACAAACCAAATAAAAAAATATAATATTGTAATATTTTCATTCAAATTGTTATGCTGACAATAAAATTTGTAATGAAAAAATTGACTATTTCATGTATTATTTAAAAAAAAAAAAAAAAAGGTTGGGTCGTGGATGGTATTGCCTACTTGTCAGACCAGAAGAGCATGGGCCAGCCATAAAAAAATTGTCCTGGAAACCATGAATACAAGCTACTACCCTGTCTGGTACTAAAAAAAAACACTATGTAAATGTGAGTTGAAGGCACACAAATGTAAAACAGGTCATGTGTGTGTATATGTGTTTGTATTCCTGAGGGAATTCTCCTCCCACTTCCGAGTTCTGTGGCTGCTCGCTGTACCATCTGTAAAACCCTGAGGTCATTCTCATCTACATCTCATTAGTCTTTCATTTGATATTGAACCTGCCATGCCTTTTTCTCTGCATCCCAGCCTCTTGCTTCTAGCAGAATCAGATTTCACCTTGCGTCTTTGTGTTTGTAAACTTCAGCTGATCAGTGCAGCTCTAGAAACAAAAGCTGACCTTTGGATGTGACGTTAGCGGTGACGTGGAGCTTGGCTGACCTGGTAAGGAAGGCCTCTGTGAGGTTGTGCTTGGCGGTGGGCGGAGCCTCGTGCTGCTGGACTCCGCCCTCTCGCAGCATCTGCTGGTAGAGTTCCCGCTGCTGTTGCTTCTGTTCCAGATGCTGCTGGACACGCAAACGCTGGCGGTAGTACTCCTGAAACTGCTCTGTGGAGTCCCACAACTACACAGAAACAGAGGGGACAAAGATGAGATGAGAGAATCTCATGGAGAGTCACCATGAAATAAAAACAGATAGTTTATATAAATTGTGTTTATTATAAATTGTTTTTTTTGTTGACATCATTATTAAAATTTTTATTCGTGTGCCCTCGTAACCTTTTTTTTGTTGACATCATTATTACAATTTTTATTCGTGTGCCCTCGTAACCTTTAACCAAAATAACTTCCCTTCCTTCTGGCAGACATCTCTCCTCTGATGTCGTGTTTACTGATACGAGGGCGGGACAACCTGTCACTCACATGACATCTCAGCAATAGCAAACAACAACCAACCATCCAATCGAATCCACACAGACACAATCTCACCCTAAACTTTTTCTAGTTCAAAAAGACCATTCACTCGGATATACATCACAATAGGGAAGAAAAGACGATCACAACTTTCCATTTCTGACTTTAAAGCCTAAAGTCCGAAATTTTCGTGTGCGTTTTTTGTATTCGTGATTCGGTGGCTCTGAATTGTCAAAGCGGCATTCAAACTGCTTGCTACGGATGCAAAAAAACGAGAAAAAAACCCCGCAGAAAATCGAACCTGATTCGATTTTTTTTATGTTGTTATGTCAATCACACTTGCACACTGCCTTTAGTCTGTCTCAAAAAAAAATTTTTTTTTGCTTCCGTAGCAAGCGGTTTGATTGGTGTTTTGAAACGGACTTAGTGTGCGAGGACCTTAATGCTTAAAAAAGTTACTCCCATTTCACCCTCAAAGCTTATGAGTAGACAGACACTGAAAGGGAGTCACTTTCTGGTCTGGTGAACAGATTTAATACATCACAGCTCTACAGTGATTACAACCACAGATTAAAACCCAGACAGGAAATAAACTGTGTTTGTTTTGACAGAGCTTAGAGTCTCTGCAATGAGAGCTATCAATACATTGGCTGTTTCTCAATTCTAAGAACGGAAAGGACAGACTTGCGTTCCCTTAAAGAACGGTGTTGCCAGGCTACCTTGAAAGAACGAACTTGGAAGGACATGAGGAGATGTGCTGTGATATTGTTTTAGATATCCTTGTGCAGAGAATAATGTCGGGTTCTAATGTCGGGTCGCCATGCTGCCACTCCATCTTGAAAGTACATTAGCCAAAGAGGGACATACCCATTAATTCAAGCTTTGCCTTTCGCGTTTACGTTTGAGTTAACACTCATGGACGAGGTCGAACTGAAAGCCATGTTAATCTTGGACTACATTGGCCACCGCAGGAGTTAAAACGAAATCAGAATTTAGAGGAACAGAAACTAATATTCACTGGATGGTCATATACCTTTTCACCACTAGATGTGGGTAAAAATCACACAGTGTAGCTTTAAGTAAATGGCTGTCTTTCTGAATGTTTCCTCTCTGTCTCCTTTATTAATTATTTTGTATACAAATGATTGTAAAAGATTTTTAGAATTAGACATGTAATTTGCAGACTACTCTGTAATTGTTAGTATTATATTGAGTGTGGAGGACACAACACATGGACCTGTGTTTGATGATTTCGTTACTTGTTGTCAGGATGCCTTTTTTTTTTAAACTTAATGTTCTTTAAACCAAAGATTATTGACTTTAGCTCTTGGAAGCAATCAATTCAGTATAAACAAACAACTACAAATGGAATGGGTGTTGAGAGTGTTGAGCAGTATTAGTATTAGGGCACTGTTTTAGATAATAAATCAACGGTCGGGTTCTGTGTTTGTGAAATTGAATGATACTAAACAACACTGTTCTATAGCACAACATTCCAATTTACTTTTAGAACCCTTCGTACAACAGACTAAATATCAGCATTCCAGACAACAGCCACTAATGGGGAACAATCTAGAAGTCTTTTCATCACAACCTCTGACAGTCAACGTTCTACAACCCTTCACACAAGAGAGATCTGCATGTAAAGGTCAACATTCCAGAACTCTTCACACAAAAACAAACTTTATGATTGAACATTGTAGAAAGTTTGCTCAAACAGTCCCATCACAAACACATGCCTATCAACTGTACAGTAGCTTGGCAACAGCCAATCCAAGCCCTGTGCAACTATGCAGTGATAAATTGCAAGCAGTAGCTGAGCTTGACTGCACATGCAAACTTCTACTGCTCACAAACAATTGCAAGGCATGTTAATAACAACAGCTGGAGAGTCACTAAAAAACTTACTTGAATTTGAATGCTAAATTTAAGTTATATTACATTTACATCAATGCATTTAGCAGATTACTCATCCAAAAAGACGAGCAAATCACTTCGGCAAGGAGCCAACAATATTCGTAAAATACAATGCCAGGTTTATTTGAAATCTAGATTAGGAAGCAAGCTAGAGAAGATGAGATTTTATGTGTGTGGGAGTTATACTCGCATAACTAATAATTGGAAAAGCAACATGCCTTATAATTCAGTTAAGTAGCACTAAATCTAATGTTCAGGTGACATCAATGGATACACCGACCGACAAAATACCTCATTCTTCTCTGCAGAACCAGGTGCTGGAGCATCTTGACCTGGGGCAGAGGCCGGGCGAGAGTTTTGAGGACCAGGTGAGCTCAACATTTTATCAGATGGAGTTTCAGTTCTGGAGCTGCAAGACCAGAGAGTCCACATTACTGTTTCAGACGCAACAGTATATAGCAATAACCATGTTCTGAAAAGATTCTGCTTTCAAGTCATCCTTCTCTACCACACTCATCAAAATTTATCTTAACTGAAAAAGCCTTGAATATGCAACACACATTGCCATTTTATTCACAGGGTGTTTTAAACAATAACAGAAATTTGGAATAATCAAGAATAATCAAGAAAGTGTTTTTCCACGCGCCTGGTGTGTGCTTTCAATTGTTTACAATGGGAGCGCCAAGTTTTTTAAACGCCATGACCGTAACGAGGAGGTGCTGAGCATTTTTTTCACGCTGAAGCGTCGAGCGCCCGGCGTTTTTACTGGTCGCCGGGAGTTAAAAATTTTTTAACTTTGGATAAAACGCAGCGCTCATCACTGTCACTTTTTACTCAACCGTCCAATCACAGTGGAGGAGGGGCGGGACTAAACCACACTGACCAACTGTCACAACATTCTTTCTGTACAACGACATAAACCAGCAGAGCTAATTGAACAACATGGATGAAAAATAAATTGTTAGTATGAAACAAATTATAGTGCGGAATCAGTTCCTCGGCGACCAGTAAAAAACAATAAAAATGCTCAGCGCCTCGTTTAAAAAACGCGGCGCTCCCATTGCAAACAATTGAAAACATACGCCAGGCGCGTGGAAAAACGCTTTGGTGGACACACGGCCTTATACTCACCAAGGCTGCATTTATTTGATCACAAATACAGAAAAAACAGTAATGTTGTGAAATATTTTTACAATTTAAAGGAGCTGTATGTAAGATTGTGGCCAAAACTGGTACTGCAATCACTTTCAAATTACTGTAGAGAGGTGTATCCCCTTCCCCTCCCCCCTGACTTGAGGTTGCCAGATAGGCTGCAGGATCCAACATTTTTTTATCACCCAGATGCTGCAACACCACTGACTTTGTGATTAGTAGATAGGTGGAGCATCAGACCAAAACACAACATGACAACATCAACATCAGTTGAGGGCTGCAACTTCACTTTTTAAATGACAATATCCTGGCCGGACTACTGTTGTCAGTGATATAAGTATTTGAAATGAACATGATTTCTTAATGCCTAGTGACATATCAGGGCCATTTTATGATTACTTGAAATAAATTTCTTACATACAGCTCCTTTAAAATAACTCTTTTCTATAATAATATATTTTAAAATATACCAGAAAGTTATATCTTTATTTATTTATTTAAGTCATTGTCATTTTAATAATTACAGGTAATTTGCTAATAGTATTCTGGAGTTTGTTTTAAGCGTGTAATGCTTCTCGAGCTCGAATGCAGATTTAAAGCTGTATCAGGTGATGTTTACCTCTCTGGTGACTCCTCAAAGATGCTGTGACATCCTGAATTCTCCATCATCACACTGCGGTTCAGGTGTTGAATATTAGCAAACGAGTGTGACATGGGAGAAGTTTTCCCTCCGTCTGTTCCCGCACCTCTCTTCTCTTGGCCAGAGAGACCGTAGGACAGGCCGTCCAGTGCTGGGTTCAGAGAGCGGGTCATGTAGGTGTCTGCAGACTGCGGGCGGCGGAGAGGGGAAGCGGGATACGGGGAGAGCTTGCTGATGAGCGGAGTGAGGAGGTCGGCGTAAGTGGCCTTGGCAGGTTTAACAAGCCGGTCCACGTGGATATTGAGCATCTTCTGCTCAAAGGCGCAAGAGAAGACGTTGGGCGACAGGTTCTGGAGCCAAGAAAGCAAGCTCAGGTCGAGATCGTCGCAGCCGTTCCCGCACAGCATGTCTATACCCAGAAGAACCTCACTCTCTGTGATCTCCTCTCCGGTGGCTTTGCTCTGGCAGAACTCCACGCAGCATTCGTACAGTACACCTTTAATCAGAAGCTGGAATAGACGGTTGGCGCTGGCGCGGAACCCCGCCTCGCTCAGCTTTCGGTCAGCGGGAATAAACTCCGCCACCATGACACAGGCCTCCTCAAAACACTGTACCCGTGCCGTACTCGGATTCCAGTCCTTGAACTCGGCATGGTTGGTGAGGCGGGGCAGCGTCAGGAGAAGGCAAAGCTTGCTGTAGTCGTCTTTAGTTGGACAAAACTCTTCCAGAGCATGCAGACACTTCACAGCCTCTTGCATGGTTAGCTCCAACTGAACAGAGAGAGAGAAGATTAAGAAAGCTGGTCAGAAACATTTGCAAACAAGCAGTTTCTTACATGGTGTTAACATAGATTTTTGGACATGATAATCTCTCAAGATTTACATGCTATTATTAAAATAAGCTTAGCAGAAACAAAATAAACTAAAATGACTTTACAGTAGGTAATCAACCTTCTTAATACATAAGAAGTAAAAGCAAACAATTATAGATAATCACGACACGCAGGCGGCGGTACGGAGCGCGTCTCATAAATATAAACTCAGCGTATAGCCTAAGTATATCCTACTCCACAGACCTGAAACGTATATCTATATTGAAATGTCAACTTGTAAACAGAACAATTCAAAACGAAACTAAACCAAAAAGATTGATTCAGTCTTCTCATTCCTCAATAGCGTACATTGAAAGCACCCAATTTATTTCACTGACTGCGGCCTATTTTAACTTTTGATTAATAAAATGTTCTGCTATAAAAGTTTAGATTATATTTAAAGCAATATTCTATTTAAAATGTAGGCTACTTTTACATAATTACGTTTTGCTTTCGCTAAATGTCCCTTTGCGCCACCTGGTGGTCATTTCGCGACCGACTTTGAAATACGGCTGGTTTAATTTTGCCGCGGCGGTAAGTGGCATTCTGGTTGATCACCTACTGTACATGCATATTCTTTTATCTTCTATATAATATAATTAAAAAAAATATATAATATAATATTGTTTGGTTCACATTACTGTTGATTATTATAAAGATTATTATTATACATAAATGACAGTTCAAAACTTTAAGGGCGGTAAGGTTTTTAAATATTTTTGAAACTCTCTTACGCTCACCTAAACTGCATTTATTTTAATGAAAAATACCGTAAAGACAGTAATATTGTAAAATATTATGACAATTTAAAATAACTGTCTTCTGTTTGAATATATTTTAAAATGTAATTTCTTCCTGTGATAGTAAAGCTGAATTTTCAGCATCATTGCTCCAGTTTTCAGTCACATGATCCTTCAGAAATAATTCTAATGTTGATTTGGTGCACAAAAAAAAAAAAAAACATTTATTCTTATTACCAAAAATAAAAACAGTTGCGAAACTGCGATACTTTTTTTTTTTCAGGATTTTTTTCAGAATAGATGTTACTCACATGCTGTGGCTCATCCTCAGCAGACATGGCGTTATTCACACACAAAGCTTCCAGAAACTTCTGTTTCAAAACAATGTAGCGGAACCTGAGAGGGGAAAATGCACATATATGTGAAGTTAAACCAGCAGTGTCTGATTTTATTTAAATATTCATAAACATTAAACAATTAAATGAACCCCAATTCAGCATTTATGTACAAAATGATACAATTCTAAAGGGTAAAAAGATGCCTTATTCATTTATTTTAAGTGCATTTAAGTGCAAATGAGCTTCTATTATTTGGGTTGAAATTCTGGAAAGATTCTGAGCTGATCTCTCACCTTTTCCTGTCAAATTTATCCAGACACTCAAGAGGCTGAATAAACTGCAACACTTCATCCCACTGTCCATCCAGAATGAGCTGCCTGCAGAGGGGAGAATGAATGAGAAAGAGAGAAAAAAAGTACGTCTAGCCTAGAAAATTGGACTCATAATAGCACAATAATAGTACCAGTTCCAAACTAAGAACATACAAGTTTAGACTAGGCTATATTTAAAGGAAACTTTGTATTTGTTACCATCTGAATTTATGTTGTTTTACACTGTCTCAAATAGTAATAATCACTAGAGAAAAACTACATGCAGATTCTTGGTGGTAAAACTCTGGAGTTATCTTATCATTCAGACTGTGGCTCTGTTTAGGGGCCGCATTAAGATGCGTTTTGGTTGATCGGACCAAATCCATAAAGTTTTTGTTAATTTGCGAATATAATCATGATGAACAAAACGTGAAAGTATCATAAACTTTTGCTGGTCACAGAGCTTAATTTCTGCAATAATCCAAAAGCCAATGGAAAAATCCAAATGGGTTCTTGTCGATGAAACGAGTGTGATGCTAACCTCTGGTTTGGCCTGCAAAAATGTGGCATCATTGCAGCACTCTAGTGAAACCAATGCTTGATTTTCTAGCTTCAATGCAGAGTAAAACTGCTGTAAATTGGCAAAAGCATAAGCATTGTATTAACGCTATTTTAGGTGTCCCATATTTGCCGGGATTTGAATTCTGCCAGAGGTGTGTTTAGATCATACCTGAGGAAGAGCATGTCGTCTGAGTAGAGGCCGTTGATGATCCCACTCTCCTTCTCCAGGGCCAACATGCTAATGTGCAGCTTGCGTGAGTTTAGGAAGTCCAGCATCACCTTGATGATCTCCACTTCCTTTACATTTATGATCTCCTCAGCCGTCATGGTGGCAAGCTTTCACAGAAAGATGAGAGAATGAACACTTTGTTTAGGATATGGTTTTATACAAAAACAGTTATAGTTCACATTTGCTCAAGCGACCAGTGGTGAGCAGACCTTAAGGGCTTGAACCCCCACTACTAAGAAACGTGAAACATTTTTTATGGCAATCGCAGTGTAACGGAAGTAGTACTGTAACTTTATTTTAACATACAGTATGGTGACACAACATTAGAGTTGTAGGGTGTGGTTCTATCCATCAGTTGTTGATTGGATGGAAACAGATCTGAAAGCACGCTTATGGTTTATTGTTAAAAAAGAGGCGGATGATTGCAATCAACGGGTTAAATGATTGGAGATGATTTGATTAAATATTCAGATCCAAAAAGCAACAACATTGAACACATGGATGAATCATTCATAATAAGATATAACATGCAAATTAACAGATTAAATGAACAAAGGAAATCAATTTGCAATCATTTAGATTGAAAAAAAAAACATTTGGCATGGATACTGTTATTAATAATTAATTACTAAATCATTTCAATTATATTATATTTAGTTTTTTTATTGTTGTTACATGAACAATAAAAATACACTTCTAAAGCATTTATTTATCTTATGTCAATTTGTACATTTATAACAGCATTATTAACAACTATTTGTATTACTTTATGTTAACAAAGATTAATAAATACAGTAACAAATGTATTTCTTATTGTTAGTTAATGTTAGTCATTGCATTAAAACTGACTAATTGAAAAATATTGTAAAGTGTGATGTGATGTATAAAACACTGTATTGCTTGAAGACTGCAAGTGAAAAAAACGACAACAACCTTCTAATTAAAATACCAGACCATGTTGTGAAAAAGAAGAGTCATCATGCCAGAATTTGCAGATGTAAACACACACACATGGGCGGTGACATTCCACCAAAAAACAAAAACAGCCTGTTCCTCAATACTATTCTCTTCTCAGCAGATGTTTTCACATCCAACCTAACCTGTTTTAAATCATTTGAAATAACTGTAATTAAAACACTAGTTAGACTTATGCTTTAAAATTACACATTATTGCTGAAACCTAAAAGAATTACAACCATAAAAATGAGAAAACTGTATTAATATTAATTATAATAATATTAAACAATAATATTATTAATTTGAGGATGCTGTAACAAACACATAGGAAAATGTGAAGAAGAAACATACAGTTCTACAAGAAGCACCTATGGTAGTAGCTTACGAACTGCCCTTTTTGGGGGATTTGCACTTTAAACCCTTCAGTTTTAACCACTAAACCACAGCACCGGGCCCCAACCTTGCACTATGGGCAACGCAGATTTGCATTCTCGTGCTTTCTCATCGCTGGATCAGGATGAGCTCATTGCAATGTATTTATCTCACCGCTTACATTAATTATTTCTTAGATAAGCCACATTACATCCTATCAAGCACCAGTGAGAGGGGACATCCACCCATATCTACATTATTCTGACGCTGCAAGGGGAGAGTGTGTCATCCAGGCGGAGCAGCAGCAGCCTCTCCGGCCTCGCCTATCCTCAAAACAACAGCGATAAGCGTCGCGAAAAGCGATTTAAATCTCACCTGATAAACTCTACATATACGCGAAGTGCAGAAATCCTCTGTGGGTCCACCGAGGGTGTGTCGACACGCACTGTCTGGTGTTTTTTTCCTCCGTGTTTCGGGGCGAGAGGCTCTTGTTGTCTCTGGCGCTCGCTGGTTGTCAAGCACAAGCTTCCTCTGCGCGCTCCACCAATCCTCGCTCACGCACACAAACCCCCGCAAAACCCGCCCCGGCGGCCTGCGTGTTATTCACCAAACTGAGGCTTAATGCGGATTTGTGATTAGCAGCATTATATACGCATTATACTACAGTATGTGTGTAAACTTATACTAAGCCGAGAAAGTAGCGGTTTATAGGGGCTGTTTTGGGCTTTGAACGATGTCAGGGTTATGTACGATTCTCAAATAGCATGCAAAAAAGTTACACAACACAAAATGAAATACCCGCATTTGATGCAAAATTCATTTTTACTTTTTTTATGAGGTAATTTTAAACAATTAATTCAAAGGTCAACTGACGATTCCAAAACAATAGTTGATATTTGCTTTTTTAAGTTAATTTGTGTTCCATAATTGTTTTACTTTTTATTTATTTTTTAAGTGAATATAAAGTATAGTCCGACTACCTAATGAATCATTCTTGTGAGTCAAAATCAAAATGCAGCACGGCCTCTGTAATCATATCTGTAATCTGACTCTTGAACGTATGACTCTTCTGAACCAGTTCTTTTTAGTGAATCAAAGCGCAACCGGTGAAGTTCAACTCTCTAATGAATCACTCTTATTAGTGAATCAAACACAATTGTGTCAAACGTTTTAAAATCAATTCGAGATTTATAAAACGGTTGTTATTGAATTTTCATACCTTAAATAAACACAAAATGATTTTCAGTAATTTTTATAAATAACTTTATCGATTCCCTTTTAATAAGTAGACAACAATATTGGATCATAACACAAAGGAAAAAGGGGTCAAATAGGTCAATATTTTGGATGTAAATCTGTATTTATGTTAAGGTTAACATTCAAATACAAACAGACAAAGCGCATAATGCACAAACACAGCGGACATGACCTGAAAAAAAGATTAGACAGCGTGTGGAAATGATCATCTCTCAGAACAGCTTTTATCACTGATCCATACTTGCACCTGTTAAACATCATCTTTTTTCATATGAAAAATATCAGTAATATTCAATGGCTTAAAAAATATGCTTAGTGTGTAAAACTATATCTGTACAGCATCAATAAATTCAAACGATGATTTACTTCACTTAGTAAAAATAACAAATATCTTTCGATTCTTTTGCACCAGAAGACAAAATGTCTTGCTGACCAAACATCCCAGCTCTTTTAAAATGCACTTCATAATTAAAAATGAGTAACAACATCATTTAGCAATAATACTCACCATTTCTTTGAAAGCTTCATTATATGATATTCAATATCTCAGTTTGTCCTCTGTATTATTTATATGGATTTTTACACTACTCAGTCAGTTAGCAGATCTGTCTCTTTAAAATGTATGTTTCAAACATACATGGCACACAGATATTCTGGGCCGTGACACAAGTAATTGCAACATGTCTAGGGACGTATAATTCTAAAGCTCTAATGTTTAGTTTTGGTCCTCAACTTCATCAGTTAAAGGTCCCATCATTACTTTTACATGACAGATACAGAGCAACACAAATGTGTTCATTTTGTAGAAAGAGTCTTGAGCAACCACTCTTACTGTAGCTAATATTACACAAGTTCTTCTGGAGTAGCAGATGTGCAACAAGGATTACGGATCCTACCCAAAATATAAAAACAGACATTAAATAAACCAAAAAAGGGTTCCAGTAAATGAAATGCTTCCTCAACTGCATGACCTTCAGAAAAGTTAGGCTTCAAGTGTAGTATGTCCCTAAAATTCTTTTACACCTGCATTTCCACAAGCACAAAAGAAGCAGGTTGTGTACGACAAAATGACTTGCTCATAAACTCAGTCACTGTGCGTTAAGCATTGCATAAAAGACACGACAAGACAAGCATAAGGCCACAAAATTGAACATGTTTGAAATAAAAAAACGGGTAAAAGCGCATCCGTCAGTGCTGCAAAGACTGTGGAACAGAGAGTCTCAAGTTCGCCACAAATGAGCATCCAACAAAGCCTGCAAAAGTGTTTTCGTTACATTCAAGATGTGCATTGTAATGTCCGATGGGCAGGAACACTAAGTGAGCTGTGAACTTATTTGAGGAGTTTTTTGGGTGTGATATGTTTCTTGTTCTGCCAGAGGTGGCTGTAGATGGTGATGGCATCCACGCTTGCTGACATGGTCTTGGCGGGGATTTTGCTGAACTGTTTCTTATCTGAGCTGTATTTGTAAAGGTTCTCGATCATCTTGGGCGTGATGGTCTTGGGCCCGATACCAGCTAGCTTGTTGATCTCCTCCGCTTCTGGATAATATGAGTACAGAGAGCGAAACTGGCAGCCAGAGTCTCGGAACAGAATTAGAAAGTTGTTGGCTTCTGTTTTCTCCATTTCCTGGGGAAAAATAAAACAAACATTTACAAATATGAAATGATTATTATTTCCTTTCAGGTTTAAAATGATATTCTGTACCTCTATACCAAGTAAAACGAGAATTAATTTAAACGGATTGATGTCATTTCTGTATATTCTACAGTTCCAGGGTAAAATTTTTATAAAAATAATATAAATAAATATTATAATAAAATAAATAAATACATTTAATTAAATTTCATGTAAAGAATAATAATTCACTACATCAATTAAACTTAAATACAAAAGATTCCAGTTTTTAGATTAGCAGTAAACTGCATGCAAATCTTTTTGTAACATTTTTCCCCTCACCTCCAGGATTTTGTTCTTCTGTCCCTCGTTGACGCGGCCCGCAAGGCAGCAGTGAGCCAGTGCGTTCTGGATGATGTATTTATTTGATTTAGCACTGGGCTCCTTGTACAACTTTGGCCCTAGAGAGAAAGAGAAATAAGAATTAGAGGAAGCGATCAACATTTGTGAGCAGTGTACTGTTGAGGGTCAAAGTTATGACATTTAAGGGTCCGTACATTTATATATGTAATTCGATTCATTTTAAAAGCCAAAGTTCAGTGTATTCAGTTTAATGTTGGAGGAAATGGTATATTACTGCATAAAATCTGTTTGTAGCTGATAAAATACAGTAAACCCATTCTTTCTTATGCATCGAAATGTTTGTTTGTAATCATTCAAACATTTTAAATCAGTAAATGTTTTGCAGCAAATTAAGTTAAGTTAAGTTAAAAAATGTACAAACACTATATACTGTATATTACTGTTCAAACTATTAAAAAAAGTGTCACGATGATTTCAACAAAAATAACAATAAGCAGCAAAACTGTTTTCAACATTGATAATAAGAAATGTTTGCCAATGTGGCTTTCCCATTACAGGAATAATATACATGTAAAAAACGATTAAAATAGAAAAAAGTTATTTTAAAGTGTAATAATATTGAATATTAATAATATTTCACAATTTTCAACGCTTTCAAAAACATCTTTTCGACAGTGGTGTAGTATCTAAATGAACAAGTCATACAAAGTGCATGCATGCATAATAATGAAAAAAGAGTTGAAACAGTTTTGGAATATAGAATGTGACACAACAGGACTGTCATGCGACCTGCCCACCTGTGTATTCTGTGTTAGATGCTGCAGATGCTGTTGATTCGAGTTCCCAGTTCTCCCCGTTTCCACTTACTGACGGACACGGTGACAAAAAACCCTCAGCAGACTCCGGCCTGAGAATAAACAAACATACACACTGCAACCATCTCTTTAATAAAGACTGAGATACTAATTTAACAGGTGGGCCCTTATTGAAGGCTGGAAAATCACAGAAGCGAAGCATGGATGCAGCAGACATAGGCTACTCATTTTCATCATGCATCAAGTTTCCGGCAACAAATAAAGCCCAGAGGGAAAGCAAAAATGCTGCACGACTTGTCAAAGAAGTCATAGCCAATCAGAACATATGTGAAGTTTTTATACAGTGATGCTGAGCATGCTTCTGTAGCACTGAAATGTCAACCAAATGGAGAGACAAATCCATGTTGCTTGTCATTTTTTCAGTTGCGGAAGTATTGGGCAGAAACTAATATAGAGAATTCAGAATTTACAGTCTCACTTGTTTATGACATTGCACCTGGTTAATACACAATGCAACACTGTTCACATCTGCTATTTGGATGCATTTTGGTCAGATCACCACTAAATACAGGTGTAAACAGGGTCTAAAACATTTTGAGCTTGTCCACTTTCGGCCACTTCCAGAGGTAGTCTAAAAAACACATTCGCCAGATTGCTTTCGTAGTGTAAAAGCTAATGTGGTCGTATGTTTTCAAACAGCCAAAAAAGACCAACTACTACCTAATGCTTCAACATTATGGCAAATTGAAGACGGAAAAATGTACCAAGCACAATGTTCTCTCACCGTTCCTGATTTCTAACACAAACTCGCAGCTTTCGCCGTGGACTTGCGGGTTTCAGAGCAAAAACAAAAGCTGTTGCACTCCGTATGTTTTTCCGTAGTCTCCTTTCACGTTCATATGTAAATTGCTTGAGCTTATTTTGTCCATTAGATTGAAAGATCTGGAAAACCTATACACCCGCCCATAGATCCTCCCCTTGAAGAAATCAGGAGAGAAGTGGTTGAAAGTGGACAAAAGAGATGGATTAAATACCAGGTTAAACTGGAATGTATCTCCCTTGTCTACTTGTGATCCGATCGACCAAAACGCATCTTAATAGCTGGTGTAAACAGGGCCTGAGTCTCATAAACAATAGCCAAAATTAGCTGCAATGATAAAGTAGCTGATAAATAAACACAACTGCAAAGAAACATGAGAATCACAAGAAAATCAAGTAAACTTAAAATATTGATTGTTCTATAATAACATATATGATTCAAAGATGATAATTATATAACAGTTTAATATGTTCCACCTATATGCTGATGAACCTGTGAACTGATCTGTCCAAGCGAATGAGTTTGTTCAGTGCCCAAGCTGAGATGACCGTCAGCACTGTGAGGCAATGACATGTTTGTGATGCTGTCTGCAAACTGACCTTCCCTTTCTCCCTTTAGGGGAGCTCAGAAAGAAACACAGATTGCCAGGAGACAGTCTGCTTCCTCTGAGCAACCAGTACAGAGAAAACACAAAGATACCAAAGACAGAGGGAGGACAGAAGGTTATGAACATGACCCGTCTCGCAGCAATAGAGATGTGTGTCAGTGTTGATCAACACAATAACTCATTATTTTCTCTGCTTTTTGAATGATCTTTAAGAGGGAAGGTAATAGTGAATTGGACATGGTCTTACCTAGATGTCCTCTTATCTGATTGGACGCTCTCATTGTCTGCCAAGTTAAGGGAGGCGAGTGATAAGCTGGACACGGAATATCCACGAGGCCGTGACCCTGAACACACAAATACACACATTTGCATATGCATACACATCATTTGCATTTTCTCTTAGAAGCCAGTTTCAAAAGCTCTCTGGATATCACAACAGCAAATTAAATGTGGAATTTTAATATGATTAAAAATAGAAATATTTGATAGGTTACTATCAAATACTAAATAATACTAAATAAAAAACAGTTTTTTTATATATTAATGTTATAACAAAAAAATATTAAATAATTAGACTTCATTTAACAATATTACTAAAATAATATATATTTTTAAAACATAAATACTTCATAAAAAATAAAAATACATTAATCATTATTAATATAATTAATATATAATAATAAGAATTAATTCATTTTTTAATTAAATATACTGTAGATATAATATTTATATTCTTAATATTGTAAAAATAATTAAAATATAATTAAAATATTATTATTAAAATTATTCAATTAATTTATTAAGGTTTAATAAGCAGACAAGAAGTAAGCCATTCGTGGGTTGATATCTCTGTGGCTCTGTCACAGCAACACTGACTCCCCATCGTACCTGTGGCTGCCCGTGCTGGAGGTTTCGGAGACTCCATGATGTCTCTGTGCATAGATTTGGGGCGTGGCTTCTTTTGCTTGACACCAGGGGGGCGGGGCTTAACAACACTGTCCATGTCATCCATCAATTTCAGCTGCTTCTTCCTCATATATTCATTTCTTATAAACTCTCGTCGTGCCTTCTCTTCTTCCTTCTTCACAAGATCCTCTTCCGCTTTCAATCTGATCAAGGAAGCAGATATTTCATGCATTTCGAGCAAGTATAATGACTTTTACAAACCATTTAAAATTCCTTTAAATACAGAAGTAAAACAGGTGAATGTTGCATGGAGTTTTAGTAAAGAATATAGGTAATTATTACATTATATTCCTTCATATTGTTAAGCACAAATAAACAGTTATATACTGAATAAATGCTGAATTACATATCAGTGAACCGACCTGAACTATAATTTCTATTATATTTTAATTAGCTCTAGTGTATATTGATTTCTGTGAACATGACATGTTGAAATAGTTGTGCCATCTTTGATAGTGTGGCTTTGTTTTCAGTGATCATGTCCTTTTCTATTATTGTGTTGTGTTTTTTGTGGTGTTTTTCATACCGTGCTGCTTCTTTTTTCTGTTCTATCTCGGCCTCCTGTTGCTGTTTCTTCATCTGCATCTCTTTCTCTCTCCGCAGCCTTTTCTCCATCAGAGCTGCTTTCTTCTGTGCAACATCCTCCTCTCCCTTCAGGTCGTCCTAAATCACAGCAACACAAACAAACAATTATTCAGTCTGACACAGAAGCTCATGTGCAGCTGGTTGTATGAGACAATGTCTCTCACAGAACATTGTGATGTGCGAAGAAAAACAACAACACATTTTTAAAACACAAAATGTTGAGTGTTTACTTGAGATGAATTAAAAAGAATAACAAAGGCACTTGTTGAAGCTCCTGAACAGAGATATATATGCTGTCACAAACATTTATATCAATATATACACATTATACGAACCCTTTTCACAGACAGTGATGACATCATCATCACAAATTGAGTAAAGATTTTTGTATTAAATTTTTTTGTTGTGATGAATACACGTTTTTAATGCTATACTTTGCTTTATATTACTGTGGTAGTAAATGACAAAAAATGAAATAACACTGCACCAAGGGTGTTTATAGTACAATGGCTGAGGAAGTGACGGCTAATATATGACATCTTTCTCTTCTCTCCTCTAACTAATGTAATCAGTCTCTCTATTTTTTTTATTCTCTTTTGTAAAGTCTGCTATTGGAGATATTGGGAATACAAAAATGATATTAGTCGTCATCTTGTGTTCACTATTATAGAAGTTTGGCAACTTTGGCAACTTCCGCTTCTGAGAAACCCTGATATGTGAAATGGGTCTATTATTTGGTCTGAACCATGGTGCATTTGCATCAAAGCTGCAGCTGTTTACCTTGCTTGGCAAAATGTATTGCATTGCTCAGCTCACTATTATATTTTTGTTTTTGAACCTTTGGTTTTGTTTTCATAGCGTTAACAAATAAAGGCATTTGCCTGTATCCGCTTCGAAATGTACTGAAAATGTTCTAAAAAAAAAAATCCATTCCTGTTAAAGGCGATCCGAAATAACATATTCTCTCTGCTCACACTGCATCAGTCACGCTTGTCAATAAATATGAGCAAGAATACAGACAAATAAATAAAATAAAATAAATTATCTGTATATTCTCATTCTTTTGACATGTCTCAAGCCCACAGCATACATTGGTTTTTACTAGGGATGTCCCAAGCCTATCTCAAGGATCGGTATTGGGGCCGATTAAGTTTTTTATTTTTTTGTACTGATCGGTATTGGCTTTCCTAAGCCTGATCCTTAATTTTATGTCAGATGTAATGCACAGTAAGTGGCGCGGTATACACCTTCAATTGGGATTGCCAACCACCATTAAAGGGTTAGTTCACCCAAAAATGAAAATTCTGTCAGTATTTACTCACCCTCATGTTGTTCCAACCCCGTAAGACCTTCGTTCATCTTCGGAACACAAATTAAGATATTTAAGATATTAAGATCACTCCTCCATATAGTCCATAGGCTTCTTGAGGGACTGGCTCTTGCTGTCCTCGAAAATTCATTAAAGACATCGTTAAAATAGTCCAAGTGACTACAGGGGCTCAATCTTAAGTTTATCAAACGACGAGAATACTTTTGTGTGCAAAAAAACAACAAAAATAACGACTTTATTTCACCTATTCACTTCCTTCTCCATGAGCCTGTAAGTCAGTTAACGTAGTGTGATTGCGTAGAGCTACGTCACACGTAGGCTCACTATTGACCGACGCTGGTCATGTGTGTGTGATGCGTGTGACGTACAATAACAGAAGCTTACGCTATTAAACTAGTAACCTGACTCGCGCAGAGGGAGAAATAAACGAATAGTTGAAATAAAGTCGTTATTTTTGTTGTTTTTTTGCGCACAAAAGTGTTCTCGTCGTTTGATAAACTTAAGATTGAGCCCCTGTAGTCACTTGGACTATTTTAACGATGTCTTTAATGAATTTTCGAGGACAGCAAGAGCCAGTCCCTCAAGAAGCCTATGGACTGTATGCAGGAGCGATCTTAATATCTTAAATATCTTAATTTGTGTTCCGAAGATGAACGAAGGTCTTACGGGGTTGGAACAACATGAGGGTGAGTAAATACTGACAGAATTTTCATTTTTGGGTGAACTAACCCTTTAAATGCAAAAAAAAGCTTGCATGCTTGACGCGCAAGAACCAATGAGGTCTGTCCTAGCGTGTCACACGCGCACGTTTGACTTTCTGTGTTAAGCATATCTGATGCGCACTTTTGAAACAAATTAATCTAAAGCTATGGGTTGCGTCCAGCCTCGCCTCAGACTTGATTGACAGGCAGGCATTCTGACACCGTGAGCGTCATGCTTTTTAAACCTTAAATCCCCTTATTTTTAGCTTTTGTTGCAATTATTCTGCTTATTGTAAACGTAAAATACAATTAATAGAAGTACTTATAATTGTGAACACACAGTCTGTTTACATCAGATGTCCTTGCCCTACACCAATGTCCTTATAATATACAGCATACATATATAATATATATATATAATGTTATATTGGAATTAAATTGTAAAAAAGGATGCCTCTATACATTGGATTGATTTTAATAAATGTAATGCACTTTTTAAATGGGCACCAAGCACTAGGAAAACACAAGTATTGGAGCAGGACTCTGTATCAGCAGATACTCAGTATTCAATTACTTGGATCGTATGCACACACAAAAAAAAAAAAAAACGATCGGGACAACCCCACTTTTTACACGTACAATAAAGGTATGAGTACAGTGACAATTTCATCATCAGCATAGTATGTACGTGGCTGGTCAAACTGGACATGCAATGTACTCCTACATAGCAAGCATGCTATCAGAAAATTGCGTTTGGCAGTACGTATACAAAGCATTTGGGCCAAAACTGAACTATAATTTGAGCTTTAGTTACCTAAGCAGCTTTTCTCTATATGTGTATGCTTTCTGCTCTCTCTACTTTGTATGTAACTATCTAAGTCTCACCTTGTAGAAGAAGCCACAGCACATCTTCTGGTCTGGTCCAGTCTCTGTTTCTCTGTTGCTCTCCAGGTCATGCCCATCTAGAGGCTTTAGAATAGAGAGAGGAACCTCAATCAGATCCTTCTTCTCTTGCGACTGTTCTTCATTTGTGTTCCCACTTGCGGTTTCTGTCGAACGGTCCATCGTCTGATGAGACACAACCTCAGATGTTGGCGCATTCATGTTTCTATCATGTTTTGCTTCTGCCTGATTAGCGTTCACCTGAGCAGACGGTGGATTTGCAGCTGATTTTTGTGCGTCCTCACTTGGAGGTTCCTCATCATGTCCCAAGTATGCAAATGAGCTGGTCTGCATCTGGCTGGGCAAGAAACGTCTAAGTCGAGGCAAGCTGTCCACCGACTGCTGCGTGTTGAGTACGCGGCTGAAAGGTGTGACCTTCAGGTCGTTGGGCCTTGGCGTTCGTGGCGTCCTTGCATGGAAAGACGCGGACTTCCTTTTGATCATAGAGGGCGAACGGTGTGATGTGCGTGGCGAGCCAGTGGATGACAAAATGGGGGAGAGCGACCCAACCGAACCTCGGCCCACTACACTGCTGCTGCGCAACTCACGCAGCTGTTTGCGTGGCGCCGGGTCCGGCGGCGGAATCACCCAACTCTGGTGATCGCGCATCTGCATGATGCGTTCCTGCTGCTGCGCCAAACGCTGCATCTCCGACTGTAGGAAGCTCAAAGACGTGTTCAGGCGCTCGATGGATCGATTGTACTCTGCCAAGTCCACCTCGACGGCTGCTTCCTCCAGGGGTGATTTTGGCGGTGCACCGTCTGGTAGACATCTCTCAAGTCTGGAATTGGAGTCATTCGAATTCAAGGGTGTCTTCAGAGGTTGAGAGTCACTGATCTCTTTTTCCTGACCATCTGGTACTTTGCCGTCACCCCCTATTGGCGACACGACTCCTTTACGCCTGACCACGTTGAGAAAGGCCGTCCTGCCCATGCGCTGCCTGTGACGCGTGAAAGCCGCTTCGACTTTCTTCTTCTGCGCCTCAATGGCTCTGCGTTTCTCTTCCAGCTTCATCTTCAACTGCACCATCTCTGACGCCAGCAGTTGCGAGGGGTCGCGAGGGGAGGTGATGCGAGCAGGGCTGCGTGCGTCAGGAGTAATCGAGCGAACCGTTCCTGTCGCTCCTGGGGATGAGACGTTCAGCTCGCCACTCTCAGGAGTGTTGCCGCCACTACCACTGCTACGGCCATCGCCGTGGTTCAGTTTACGAAATTTCTGTTCGGCGAAGCTGGTCATGCGAACTGCAGAACCCAGCGAGGAGGCCACGCTGGTGGCCAGGGAATGCATTCCCAAAAGGCTTGGGCACGGACTGGCAACAGTCTCCGGAAGTGGGCAGGAACGAGCTTCATGGTCCTGGTCCATGTCCGAGTAGTCCTTCAGGGACGAATCCTCATCCTGCCCATCCTGGATGTCCTCAGTACGGACATGGATTCCAGTGTCCATGTCAGTAGAGGTGGAATTTAGGTCCGCATCGTCTGCTCTGACCTTGGAAAGAGAGTCCTCGGAATCGTTTGAGTCAGTGCCGGAGTTGTGGGAAGAAGGGTTGTGCAGGAAAAAGGCGCTGTCTCCAGATGGGGGCTGCAAGCTGCTGTGGGGTTGTTCAGAGTCATGGATGATCTTCAGAGCTTCTTCTATACTAGGAGTGTTGGGCTGAGGGTCATACGAAGGGCTGAGGTTATCTGCTGACATACCATTTGAGTACCTGAAACATGGGATATTCATTCAATTATAGTCTTTAAAAGTCATAAGGGTGAACCAACATCGGGGTGAGTAAATGCTACATAAAGGGCAAAGTAATTATACAAATAAATCAATAAAAAAAAGTGTACCCAGTGTAGTTTCCCAGACGACGTCTGCTGGATTTCTCATCATCCTCCTCGTGTATTTTGCTGTTGGCGTTCCCGTTGACGGGCTGGAACGAAAGGTTCCTCCGCATTCCTCGAGCTGCATGGTGGACTTTAAAACACAAACCTTCTGTGCTTGCTGATCGACTCAGTCCACGTCTTGAAGATGAACTTGAGCTGTCATCAAGTGGAATCTCAAATGATATCCCATGAGCTGAAGACCTGAGGTGAAGAGAAAGATTTATATATCTGGGGCATGTAAAGACAGAGTAAGAGAGTGAAAGGGATAGAGAGTCAGTATAGGGCGCAGACCGTTTCTCTTTTGGCCATGTCCCCACACATCCGTCCACAAAGGACATGGATGATGACTGCCTGATAACTGCTGTGAAAGAAAGAAATACCCATTTACTTTCCTGCAACACCAAGTACATTTTTACAACTAAATAAAAGATTAATCTACATTTATTCCATGCATTAAAGCTAAAAATGTTATCAGTTTGTGTGTGATCCCTGTGAATGGAATCTATTGCTAGAGCCGTGTTTTACCAGTTGATCTACAGTTAGTTTTATGAAGGTATGACTCATTTTTTAAAGTCTTACCTGAATTGTCATTTTCAGGTTGTGACCTATAGGACGAGATTTGTTTTTAATCTAAATTCTTGCATAAAATCATGATCAACTCAAACTTCCATTGTATTAAAGACAAACCTAGACTGCTCTGGACTGCCTGGTCTGTGGATCAGGTTTTGTTTGGGTATGGGAGCCAGATTATTGAACTGGGATGGATCAAAAGCTATAAAAGAACATATATGAAACTTAGCGTTAACCAAATACATAGCATGAACAGCAAATTTAACACTCAAAGAGACAGTATTACCTTTGGTATTGACTGTGCGGGGCTGAACAAAAGATGGTTTCACAACTTCACACCACCAGAATAGCTCTGCCATAAACACAAGGTAGTTACTCTGAAACACAAACAGATGTTCATATTAATAAGGAGAAAAAGATACAGATCAAAGAAAGAGGAGAACTGAAGACACCTACATGGATGAATTTCAGACAATCTATTGAATCTTGCATGTGTGTTTATGAAGTGCTGCTCATGTAATGTTGTTCTACAGTATAACCACAAGGTGCCATTGTTCTCCTTTAGATAGAGATTGAGCCTTTACAAACCTTTACTAATTTTATGACTAGTGTATTCAAAATGAAATTTTAGCATACTGCTTACTATATGGGTATACAATTTATATTATCTTATATTTCAAAAATGTAAAGACATTGTCCCGTGAAAAAGCTTTCTTTAATCCAGGTTTGTGTAAATAATGCATTAATTTAAAGGGTCATCTGTTGATGTATTCATCTGACATCAACACATTCTGTTGTGAAGGAAAAAGTTTAAGCTATTAATACTATAATAACTGAACAAAATGCACTTTAAATAGTGTATAGCCTAATATAGTGTATTGAAAGAAACAGCACAGCAGCCACGAGAAGAGTCTCTTTCAGTGCATTAAAGGGTCTTCTGACCCGACAAGCGGAACAAAGCAACCGGGGCAGCCTGACACGAACAGAACAGACCCAGAACTCTCTGCAGATTTATTCAGTCCTGACACATTTATTTCACCACAGTTAAGAGCTGTTAGCCTCATGAAAAAGGCCTCATTTAAAATTTAAGGCCTAAATGACCAAAGAAATCAGATGTACCTTTGTTTTACTGGAGAGTATGTGATTGGTTGAAACAGCCGACACGCATTTTGACCTGGTTTACATAATCGACCACAGACTCATCTGACATAACGGCAAATCCACGGCTGCCGGTTTGGAAAATGTAATACATTTTGCTAAATGAAATTTATTGGCTGGTGTCATGATGGTAGCTATGTGAGGTAAAGGCTACACATGGAGTGTGTTTATCTAGACAAACTGCTTCACTAACATAACTGTCTGAGGCGATCCACATGGCAGCGCTCTCCCACACACAAACTATGACTCAGTCATTCCAAACGGTCAGATTTAAAACAACACGCACTGGTCATTATTCCCATCCTGCATCAGCCCTGCTGAAATACTCCAGTGTTCACTCATTCATGGTCTCAAACTAAAAAAAGGATATTCAGTGGAAAATCACCACAGAAAGTGCCCAGATTCCGTATCCTAGAAACCATACAAAGTTTGCAACAGTGAACCAAGTGGGAAACACGCATCCGTTGAAAACATCTGAGAAAACTTCAGATACTAAATCATACCAGGAAAAACAAGCAATATAATTTTCCACTGGTCAGTCAGCTCACATATTATTGTCTTTAGTTATGTGGTGGTATAAAATCAGCACACATGCAACACACCACCAACATGGTCGCCTAAAATAAAAACCATTATCATTTACTTATCCTCATGTTGACTTTCTTTCTTTTGTGGAATAGAAAAGACGATATTTTGAAGAATGTCTGTAACCAAAGTCTTGGTGACACAAAAAACAACAACAACAACACTGAGACATATCTCAAAATATCTTTATGTTTCACAGAAGAAAGAAAGTCATGCAGGTTTGGAATGAAATAAGGATAAGCACATGATGACAACATTTTTTAGTGAACTATCCCTTTAAGAAAGCACAGATCTCCTCAATAAGTCACACAATTTGAGATTTATGTCAATAGAATAAACGGTGCATGTCAAGAAGTTTAAAATTTAGAGTTAGGGGTTTAGAGTTAGGGGTTCAAATCCATTCCTATTTCTATGTTAAATGGTAAAAGTAATTTAACATTAACCATGCAAAAAACAAAATCAGTACAGCATTATATTAATGTCAAGATGATCAACAATCTAAATAAATTATCTTTCAGTAAAATGCTATCAGCAAAGATGAGTGAAGAAGTGCTGGACGTGGACGTCAGGCTTTACCTTGATGGTGCTGGAGGCGTACAGCATATCCTCCAGGGTGAAGTGACAGCAGTTGCTGAGGTTTTCCCTGCAGAACTCCTGGATCAGCTGGAGATTGTACAGACTGTCAGCCAATGACATTGTTTCTTTGATACAGATATCTGGATGGGGAGGGAACAAACCACATAACAGCCAATGACATTATGAATTAATCTGAGGGGGCGGAGACAGAACACAAGTAGAAGCCAATGGAGTCATTTAGGGCGGGAATAGAATGTGTGATGTAATAAACAGAATCCTCCGAGTCACGGGGTGGGGATGTGTTTATGTTTGAATAACTGCTCTTCTGTTCTCTCTCAAACTTCACACACTCCTACTCGCTCTGTCTATTCCTTTAATAACTCTCCTCCCATTCCTAACAGTCTCTGTTAAAGGGATACTCCACTTTTTTGGAAATAGGCTCATTTTACAGCTCCCCCAGAGTTGAACAGTTGGGTTTTCGAATCCATTCAGCCGATTTTCTGATATTTAGAAGAATATCAGTAACCACACAGTTTCTGGTCTCATTGACTTCCATAGTAGGAAAAAATATACTATGGAAGTCAATGAGACCAGAAAGTGTGAGGTTACTGATATTCTTCGGCTGAATGGTAGCACTCGACTGTTTAACTCTGGGGGAGTTGTAAAATGAGCCTATTTCCAAAAAAAGTGGAGTATCCCTTTAAGATTGCTCAAATTTATCTCAGATAAAATTTTCATTAAGAGGCTTTTGATGTACAAACAGGTTATTTTCTATGAAATATTAGTAGAAGCCCTGCCATTATATCAGTAAGACAATTTTAAAGAAGGACAAAGATTATGTGACCTTCAGTTGACTGTATGACTGATCTGAATGTTATTTTTGTTTTGTTTCTCTGACACAGGGGACTTAAAAGAAATTTTAATGGATAATGTTGTTTGTGTGCGTGTCTTATCTATGAGGCCAGATTAGGGGCAGAGTATTTTGTTGGAGGTTTATCTGTACAGGCCTCTGTTGAAGGGTTGTGCTCTCTCAAAGAAAAAGAAGACACTAGGAACACACTGTCTAAATATACTGTAGTCTTGTAGGGCACTTACAAGTCAACATTAGAGATTTACAATAGTGCAGTTTAATGTCACGGCCTAATATTTAGCACAAATGCTATGACACGATTACCATTAGTCCTAATGCAGGTGACGCAAGTTAGAACCCTCTAATTTTCTGTCCTTTCTCTACTCAATCAATCAATAGAAATAATCAAAAAGATAAAATATTGCACAGTTTAATATAACAGTGAGATTTAAAATACTAGTTTTTTGAATATTGACAGCCACTGGTCACTGCATGGTTTCATTGTATGTGCAAAAGTAAGGTAAGGGTAAGATGCTCTATTGTCTATTGTTCTGTTTATTATTTCAGGATGTGTGTTGTATCATGTAGAATCTTATAAAAAGTAAAAAGGAAATAAAGATGGCAGACAGTAAGTTTGGCTGACTACGGCGAAAATGGTATCTTTGTTTTACATAACTTACGACATAACCAAAGGAATCGATTAAGACCAGTGTCATTACAATAGGTAAATTTGTTCCAAAGTTATTAGCATTTTTGGACATTTTGTTATGATTTTTTTACAGCAAGGTGGCGCTCCCCCAAAACTTTTTGAGTACCTTCAAGGCATGGTGCCGATGACGCATACCGAGTTTTGTAATGATACGCTAATGCGTTCATAAAGTATAAGTATAACACAAGTCAATGGCAATTTTATGTTTTGTTCTATTATAGCGCCAACAAGAGGCATAATCCCGCTGTTTTTATGTGTCCTCAGAGTGAGCCTATACATGTGCGTCACATTTGGTGAAAATATCTTATTTCGTTTTGGAGTTATGGACATTTAAATGTATAAACACACAAAAAATTACACACACCTGACTGTTTGCATTTTCTTGCCACTTAATATCAATATTTTGACATTTGAGTATTTTGAAATAGCGTATAGCAAAACGACCTATGTTTCCGAACTTCCAGCGGTGGTTTCGATCTTGATCAGTCTCGAAGATATTGGAAAATGTTTTTTTAAGATTTCCACCCATGGTGTCAATATTTTGTTTTGTTTTTTACAATCAACAACAGTGTAACCGGTTCTAACGCAATGGCAAAATTTCGAGCAAAGTGTCAATATGTTTACATTATGTTCTGTTAGTTTTATCAAATGCCAGCGCTGGCTTTATAGCCACTAGGCTAGGCTACTAGTTAAGCTATTTTGTGTCTACGACAAAGGCATACAAACATTATGGACCTGAATTTGTATGTACTAATGTTGTAAATGTATTTTTCATGTATATATACTTTACGGTGTTATTTTTCGATTTGATCAAGAACGTAAACCAATGCCAACGCTGTTTGTGTATATAGTAGCCAGTCAGTTCGATGCTATTTTGTAAAACAAACGTGTATAAAGTAAAAAAAAAAAAACGCAAATTACAATTCAGAAACGTTTTGTAAGAGCCGTGTGTGGTGAGGTTCAACGTGTGACAACGTGCACTACAGTTTAGCCAATCACAACACATTGGCCCAAACTAACCAATCTGAGCCCACTGCCTGTAAATGAGGGAGTGGTTTCATAGAATCAGGAAGTCAACCGGTCGTTCAAATGACAGGAGAAAACGGCTTACAATAAAGGTGAAATTTATGAAAAATAAGGCTTTTTAAAAAAGAAAAACCACAAATACATGTTATATTGCACCCCATAAACACAATCATGCAAAGAAAAAAAGCAGTAAACCACCCCTTTAAATAAACAACTACCAGTTGGATAGAAAATATATTTGATATTTGGTATATGTATGTATGTATGTATGTATGTAATGTATATATATATATATATATATATATATATATATATATATATATATATATATATATATATTTTATATATTCACTATCAAGTATGGGAAAGTTGAATCTTGGTAGGTGGTGCACTTCACCAAGAAGAGTTTCAGCAAAAGTACCTTCCAGTAGCACAGCTTCAGGACAGTAGAAGTGCAGCAGTGCAGCCAGTGCACAGCCGTCTTTGTTGTCCTTCAGGAGATTGTCCACCAGGGGAAGACAAAGAGCAGGAAGTGTTTTAGAGTAGTCTCTCTTGTACTGTCCCTGTGGATTACAAACACACCACCATTTACTGTAAGATTGTTTTAATGCAAATACATAATAACCAGAGCCAGAGTAATGATTCTGCTAATTAGGCAAAATGAATGCAATCAATTTGAGATCAGAAATCTTGCAAACTTCAAATAGATTAGTGCATTATGATTTATGACATCATGATATTTGTGTTAGGCTAAATGGATTTAAAAGTTGTGGGTGTGTTTGACTTGGCAGTGGTTAAGGTGGGGCCAATATCACAAAGGCAGGTACACATTAAAACTGGTCTGTGGACTTTGAGGCACAACAAATCTTTACAAAAGTTTTTCTCAACACAGTGCGAGTAACACTCACCTCTCAACACTCACGTAATGAGTAACAGATAACTTACAGCACAAGAACAGATAATAACTCAAACAGAAGACTTATAGTGTAAGTACGGATCTTTTTCATGATATGCAATGGTGTATTTATGTTTAGCTGAATTTCCAAAATAACCTTTTTTACAACCTGTTATTTCTTTAAAATACAATCAAACCATCTTTTCTGCGAGATGTCGCATTTATGACAGGGTTATGTGGAATCTCCACTGAAAAGCTAGGTGTTACATATGTAAATCATAGAATAATTTCCGATGCATGGCACATTTCCGTGAAATATGAAATCCAAAATGTCTACAATTCTATTGTAAAGAATATAGCATTGTGTAGGTTTATCTAAAAAAGTGTGTTCATGAACTTTTTTCATATGAGTGTATATTTCTAAGGACTTTCTATAAAAAGATCAAATCTTAAATAAATAAAGACTATTGAACATCTCCTCACCTTTTGAACTGTGCGGGGCTCTGCTATATCTTTAAATCTTTGTTCTTGGGCCAAAACGTCTCTTAGTTGTTCATTTACCTGCATTAAAAATTGTAAATATGTAAAATAAGCGTACACATGGACACATTATCACAAATAAACAAAAATTCACACATACATAAGATTTTGCTCTGCAGTGCATATTGCTAAAAGGCTCATACAGTAGTCTATTATTGCTTAAATTAACAGTTTCTAAAATTAACGAGTAGATAATCTTTATAATTTTCATTCATAAATACCAGGCACTTAAAATATGGCTTAAAAAAAACACGTTTCACACTTTACTTAACCATGGATTATCAACGTTCTAAACTCTGCTTTTAACACAGAGTAGAGGAACGTTTCACATTTGGAATGTAAAAGTTGGTTATGTACCAGCAGTTATAAAACTGGCCTAACTTGTGAAACGATGTCAGTTAGAATGTCAGAAAGCTAGACGCTTAGCAACTGTCAGACAATTGCATTCCTCATATTCAAGTGATATGTGAATTGTGAAAAGTGAAACTCAAGATAGATGCTTAGCAACTGTCAGCCAATTGCATTCTTGATCTCCTGCACTCAAAAGTTGTCACCTCTGAATGCAAATCTCCATTGTAAGCACGTTTTCGTCTATATAATGAAAGGCTTGGCGATTTGTTACTCAAATTAGCCCGTGATGCGGAGTGCAAGCAAAACACATCATGTATTTCTAATGTCTGGGACGCATATTTTCTCCTTATTGTAGAGAATTTGATCTTTTGTGTCTACTATCTTTGAACTGATTATAAAAATTGGCATGATACATTTACATGACATAATAAATTGTAAACATTGGGTCTGACATTGTTTTCAGTAAAGAGTTAAAAAGAATAATCAAACATTCACTCACATTTAATGATGCACAGATATCATTAAAACCATTTTCATTTATGGAGCCAGATGAAGTAACGAGGTAATTACATAAGAAAAAAAATGTTTTACTCAAATTATTTTGCCACACGGAAAGACGGTAACACAAATGACCTTTATCTGCTGATCGAATGTCTACATTGGGTCGATTGAGCAGGGCTTACACCCATATAAAAGTAAAAAAAAAAACTCGGGATACCATTAAACCAAGGTTTTAGATTGACAGTATTGTAGTGATATTGACCTACTGTATACTGAAACAGTGAATTACTGATTGCAGATTCTATTTACTTTTCTTGACAGTTGGATGAACACAAGGTGAGAATAATTAAAGAAAAACAAAAGGACTGGACAGAGGAGTACATTACTCCACAAGAGGTAAGAAAAAGAACCGAATATACTATGGTCTCCATTTTGATATTCCACTGATCCATGAAACTTTCAACCCTCTAAATAATGTAATTAGCCAATGGCTAATAAATTGTTAGATTTCAATCACCATTGTTTAAGTTCAAGGCTAAGAATTTGGCAAAAACATTTTCACTCAGCTCACACTGACTGAGCATTTGAGAGTTTAAGTAATGTGTCTCGACTACAGCACAGTGTGTACACTATTCCTTTTGATATCAATAGAAATGCAGCGTGTTTGTTGCACCGTAAACTCTCTTATGTAGGTGACCTGCGAGTAAAATAAGTCGAACCCAAGTATAAGTTGCACCGGGGGAAAATTGCATTCTTGAGAAGAAAAAAACACACAGATGTACAAGTCACTTTTTATTATTACATTTAGATAGATATAATGTAAAATACCAAATACCAGTGTATGACAGAACTTACAGTGGTGTTCATAAAAACAACACTTATTATAAAGGCCAAGCCTACACTAATTTACGAAATGAAATTGACCTTGCACGGATACATAACTGTAAAGCGAATAGACCTATGCGCTTTTCAAAGATCCATCTGAACCTCCAGCTCAGGCCAACCAGTTTTGTGTCCATGTTTAGCTTTTGTAGTCTTCTTAATCATTTCATTTCACCTTTTCTCCAGTCTCCCATTTTTCGCTTACACCAAATTCTGCTGCACGATTAAGTTTTCCTTTGCATATACTGTACAACAGTCAGTTTAAACTGAACTGTGTAACCTTTTCTGTTTTTCGTTGTCTGCATTTTAGTGTTATGATGAGGAAGCTGTGATATCAGATTGTGTGTGCGTGCGTGTGTGTGTGTGTGTGTGCCTTTTTTGTGACCATGACATTTGAATGACATTCTTGACTTGCATTCTTTTGTATTCTGTTGCACTCCACCCAGGTTTTACTTGAATCAATGAATAACACTCCCGGACAAAGGTACAAAAGCTGTCAGTGGGGTGGTACCTTTTCAAAAGGTACATCTTTGTACATAAAGAGTCCATATTAGTACATCAAAGATACATTTTGGTACCAAAAGTATAGATAGTAGTACCTAAATGGTACATATTAGAACCTTTTTAAAGGGTATCATTCAAGTGTTTCCCTCTATTACAGCGACTTTTTTGTGCATGTTCTGCAGACAAGGTGACCATCCTCGATTAAGTTTCCCTCAGGACTTTTCTAAAAACCAAAATATGACCACACCTCAGATGTGGTTCTCTTAAAAGGCTGAAAATCTCCCGATCACGGTCACAGCCTTCCGCCATTCTTTTGGATTAAAAAAATAAACAACTTTGCACGCTGCGTCAGACTGTGGACGGGATTCATAGTGAGTTATTAAAATCACGATAATCAAACACGGTTTTAATGATAATTACATTTTAAATGATAATACTAACCGTCAGTACATTTTAATAGTGTGTGCGCCTATTTTGTGAGCATGACATTAGAATGACATTCTTGACTTGCATTCTTTTGTATTCTGTTGCACTCCACCCAGGTTTTATTTGAATCAATGAATAACACTCCCGGAAAAAGGGGTGGTACCTTTTCAAAAGTTACAACTTTTTACATAAAGAGTGCATATTAGTACATCAAGAGTATATTTTTGTACCAAAAGTGTAGATAGTAGTACCTAAATGGTACATATTAGAACCTTTTTAAAGGGAACCATCCCAGTGTCAGCTTATGTACCATTTTTTCTTAAAAAGTGTACAATTAGGTTAGATTGCTTTGGTCTGCGGATCTGATTGTTTTCTAAAAACTACAATTTCTATTTATTTGTGTGTTTCAGTATCCTCATCGTGTGAAGGAATGGACATCAGTGCTGATAAAGTAACTGAAACAGAAAAGACCATGAAGACGTCTGGATCCTTAAAGCCCTCGGGTACTCTCTATCCATTTGATCAGAATTCTGCTTCTCATCGATATATTCAAAACTACACTTTACCACCAGAGACCGGACCTGGTAATCTGATCGATCCAGTTCATGAGTATAAGTTCATGGGCAGAACAGGCGATATGAATGTGATGAAGAAAAAGTTTAATATAGAGGTGTTTCGTTTTGCTGCAGGTTGTATGAACAGCCGTACAAATGGAACCATCCATTTTGGTGTAGCAGACTCATATGCTCATGCTGAGATCATTGGGGTCAGTGTTGACAAGAAAGACACCATCATTGATCACTTTAATAAAGGTATTAAATCGTACTTTGAAGAGCACACAGATGAAGCAAAGGCATGCATCAGGCAGCCACGCTTTGTAGAAGTGCTCTGTCCTGACGGCACTCCATCTGGCAAATATGTCATAGAGGTGGATGTTGTTCCATCCCACAGCATAGTTCAGGGTAAGTTGTTTTATACCCAGACTCTAGATGAGGACAATCAATGGAAAAAGAGAAAAGGAACGTCACTCTTCATCAGAGATAGAACTGCAACCCGAGATATCTATAAAATAGGTAATCCAAAAGACTTGCATGACGAACTGACTCGAATGAATGACCAAATGAATGTTCTGGATGACAGGAGAAAGGAGGCAGAAAAGAGCCAAGAGAGCAAAGAACATCATTGAACTGAAGAATAAGGCTGCAACAAACGATTATTTTGATAATCGATTAATATAACGATTATTGGAGCGATTAATCAACTAATCGCCGATTATTGGAGCGATTAATCGGCTAATCTACGATTATTTCACTGGCTAATCAGTAGGTTTGGAGCGATTATTCAGATTTTTCGATTAGTTAAAACATTGAGTTATACATATTCTTACTATAATATAAAAAAAGAAAATCAGTTCTGCTTTTGAAATAGTTGTTTTAATGAACTTTGAGCCAACTAAACAGGTCATTCTCTTTAGGTTTTCAGATTTCAGTCCAACTTAAATCAGACACAAATGCTCTCTAAGCATTGTTTAATAGGACCACTGCTTTTCTTAGAACTGAAACAGAAAAAGGGTAATTTACTTCAGGACACAAAGAATGGTAAATTATTAATCTGTAAACCATTATTATGAATATAAAATTACAATTTTTTTAGATGAAAATTGAGCTGACAGAGACGCTCTCATTCACCTTTTAATTTACAGTATGAAAAAGTAATTGCTATGATATTCTTCCTAACATCTCCTTTTGTAAATCTTCATGATTATAGAACAAAAAAACAGGCAAGTGATAAGACTATAATACATAATGATAATAATAATATAGTGTTACAATAATAAAAACAGCACTGACTCCTAAGCTCGATCAAGCTTATTCTATGCAAAATAAATCATTACTATAATTATTTTATTATTAATAATATTATTACTATTATTAGTAGTATTGCATCATCTAATAAAGAGATTTACATTACCACTAGTTAGTTACCATTAGTTAGATGACAGATAGATCATGTATTAATAGATCGTATAATAATAATGGGTGGAAGTGTCTTCGTCTATTTCTAGTTAGTTAGATCTCAATATAAAAGAAATTGTTTTAATGCAGACAACAAAACTTTAAATCCATTTTAGTTTTTTTAGTTTTTTAGTTTTTTTTGTTTAACATAGAAGCTCATGTTGTGAATTAATCAGAATAGAAATGTGAATTTGTTATCTTTAATAATAACAGAAACAGTTTGACATTAATGGGGGTGTTCAGCTTTAAGAGAATTCTACCAATAATGCATCAGTGTATGTGAGGAAAAAAAGAGAAAGAGATTGTTTTCATGTGCGAGCGCTGTATCTAATGATTCAAGTTCAGAAACTACAGTAAACAGTTCAGTTTATTCAATTCAAGTCGTCAGTGGTCATTATTGCTGGTCAAGGAAGAAAATACACGACATTCTTTGGTGCCGAAAACCCGGGATAACTTGCAAGCAACATCCGAAATGGCGGAGCGACTTGAAAGACTACACAGAAAACGGAGAGCTGTGCGCGGTTCCACGACGAGACTTTTGCAAGACATTGAAACGGAGGTTAGCAAGGAAGATCCAGTCGTTGACAGATTATGTGAACTGTTAGCCATGTTATCTGCAAAAGAGGAAACGCTGCTGGAGTTAGATCACGAAATAGAGGAGCATACAGATGTGGAGGATCTTGAAAATGAAGTTGTCGACGCTGAGGAGTATGGCCAGCGAGTCATCAGCGCGAAAGCCCGCGTGCGGCGCGTGATGCAGAGAGTTCGGGAAAACACTGATAGCAGGCCGCGTGATGCAGTACCAGCGCAGCGCGGACAAACAGTTAAGTTACCCAAGTTAATCATCAACAAGTTCAGCGGTGACATTAGCTTGTGGCAGGACTTTTGGAATCAGTTTGAAACGGCCATTCACAGAAATGAGGCGCTAAGCAAAACAGAGAAGTTTAATTACTTAAAGACATATGTAGCCGGCGCTGCTTCAAAGGCTATAGCGGGACTGATGTTGACAGACAGCAATTACGATCACGCGATCGATCTGCTTCAGAACCGGTTCGGAAGAAAAGATCTGCTCATTAATGCGCACATGACCAAGTTGTTGAATCTCTGCCCAGTGAAGAAATCCTACGACGTGAGTGCTTTGAGACAACTTTATGATGAATGTGAAGTACAGATTCGTAGCTTAGAATCGCTGGGTGTTGCATCAGAAGCATATGGCAGCTTGTTATGCCCTGTTCTGCTACAAATGATTCCGGAAGACATTGCACTTCAGTACAGTCGACAAAGAGGATCCAGTGATGAATGGAAAGTCTCAGAAGTTATGGAATTTCTGCAGAACGAGATTTTGAGCAGAGAAAGAACAATGCAACTGATTAAGTCAGGTAATTCCAAAGACAGCCAGCGCTATCACAAACCATTTAAAAGACCAGAGACATTAATTGAAATGAAGCAGAAAAAACATAACATGCCATCAGCTGCAGTGCTGCAAACCTCTAGTCAAAAAATACCAAACTGTCTTTTCTGTGATAGCGCAGCGCACAAAACAGAACTGTGTACAGTAACTGAAATTGCTGCACGAAAAGCAAAATTGATGAAACTGGGACGATGCTTTGTTTGTCTTGGACAGAAGCATATAGCAAGATTCTGCAAAGCCAAAGTGTCCTGTACTGTGTGTGGTGGCAGGCATCATAGCACTGTGTGTGAGAAAGGAGAAACAACCACTTCAGACATCGACGATAAAGATGATGTAGTTTCTTCATTTGCTTCCCATTCTGTTAAAATGCAGTCCGATAAGCAGAACACGGTGCTCCTTCAGACTGTAAGAGCGTGGGCAGAAGGACCTGGTGGACGTAAAAGCATTCGCTGCTTATTGGACGGTGGCAGCCAGAGAAGTTTCATCAGCGAGAACACAGTGAGAGCTTTAAAATTACCTGTGATGAAGCAAGAAACGTTCACTCTTCATACCTTCGGATCCACAGCACCAGCAACATCCAGGCGCAACACAGTGAAGGTAACTCTGCAAAGCATCTGGAACAAAGATCAGAAAGTGGAAGTGGAAGCTCTCGAAACTCCACAAGTGTGCACTGCTGTGATGAAGATTCCAGGTGAGCACATCCAAGCAGAAATGAAACGAAAAGGCTTGCAGCTGGCAGACTATCAAGACCCAGGCACTTGTGATACAGAGTTGTCTCTCCTGATTGGTGCAGATTATTATTGGCATGTGGTGTCAGGCCAAGTGGAAAGAATCACAGATGCACTGGTGGCCGTTGAGAGTATTTTTGGATGGTCAGTGCAGGGACCAGTCACAATGTCCAGTGTTTCCGACGCAGCATGCATGCACATCCATATCGATGAAGACGCACTGGTTTCAGAACGCTTGAAGGCCTTCTGGGAGACCGAATCCCTTGGCATTACCATGCAGCAGTCCAACAGCCCTGAAGAAGAGGACGCTCTTCGCATGTTTGAAAAAACTACTCAGTATAAGAACGGGCGATATGAAGTTGAGCTGCCATGGCGACCTGACAAACCAGAGCTCCCAGATAACTACAGAATCGCAAAGAAAAGATTTGAAGGACTGAAAAGGAGGTTGCGGTCAGATGTGGTAATGTATCACAGATATAATGAAGTGGTGAATGGTTACCTTCAGCAGGGCATTGTCGAAGATGTTGTGGAGAATGGATCATCTTCAAACGCTGTAAAGTATTACATGCCTCATCATGCTGTTCTTCGAGAGGACAAGGTAACCACAAAGCTCAGAGTAGTATTTGATGCTTCATCACATGAAGTTGGGGTTCCATCATTAAATGACTGTCTACTTACTGGTCCTAACCTGAATCCAGATCTGCTTGGCATACTGATCAAATTCAGACTGAATGAGATTGCTTTTACTGCAGACATTGAAAAGGCTTTCTTGCAGATTTCTCTTGCTGAGACGGATAGAGATGCAGTGAGATTCCTATGGTTCACTGCACTGCCTCATGAAGACGCAGGTGAAAGGCTACGTGTACTGCGGATGACAAGAGTGGTGTTTGGAGTGTCCCCGAGCCCATTCCTCCTAGCGGCTACAGTAAGAAGGCATCTGAAGGAATATGAACACCAATTTCCTGAAGTAGTAAGGATCATCAGAGAATCACTTTATGTTGACGACTTAATCTCGAGTGCAAGTGATGTTGAGAATGCTTTCCACATAACTACTGGTGCAAAGGAGATTATGTCTGCAGCTGGAATGAATCTTTGCAAATGGACAACCAACTGTGCTGCATTGAAGGAAAAATGGAAGGAGACAATGAGTGAACCTGCTGAGGAGACAGAAACGCATGGATCAGTGCTGAAGGTACTAGGCTTGGTATGGAGAACTCAAACAGATGAATTTGTTTTTGACCTGACTGCACTGTTGGACGCTGTAGCGAAGAGAGAGAATACTAAAAGAAGTGTTCTAAAGCTATCTGCTCGCATATTCGACCCAATAGGGTTTCTGACTCCATTTACTGTGCGAGTAAAATGTCTTTTCCAAGAGCTGTGGATACGAGGACTTGGCTGGGATGAGGAGCTGCCCTCGGATCTTGCACAAGAATGGCAAGGATGGTGTGCAGAGCTACCACAGATCCATCACATACACATTCCTCGTTGGTATGGATCAAAATGCATGCATAGACACAACGCACATCAACTCCATGTGTTCTGTGACGCAAGCGAGAAAGCTTATAGCACTGTTGCTTACCTGCTTCGAGTAGCTGATGATGGAACAAAAACAACATGCCTCGTTGCTTCAAAGTCCAGGGTAGCCCCATTGAAGAAGATCTCACTGCCCCGTCTTGAGCTGATGGGAGCAGTAATTGGAGCGAGACTCGGAAACAGTCTGTTAAAGCCTCTGAATATGGAGCTTCATCAAGTTCATATGTGGACGGATTCGATGATTGTGCTGCAGTGGATTCGCAGTCCAGCTCACAAATGGAAACAGTTTGTGGCAAACAGAGTGTCAGAAATTCAGCTTTTAACCAATCCTGAAATGTGGTCTCACTGTAGGAGCAAGTTCAATCCTGCAGACCTTCCCACCAGAGGTCTGACTGTAGCTAACCTGAAGGAAAGTGAGATTTGGTGGAACGGACCTTCATTTCTGACTACATTGAATCCGTTGGAAGAAAGTGAAGAAGAGACAAGTGACGAAATTGTGGTTAGTGAGTTAACACAAGATCAGCAGATTGTGGTGCAACTCAGCAGTGGTGAAAAACGAGAAAAGGAACCTGTTGTGGACTTAATGAAGTACAGTAAGCTAAAGCGAGTTCTGCGAGTTACTGCTTGGATTAAGCGGTTTGTGCATAATGCCAGTTCAAGCTCCAAGATGCGTGGTGAGTTGACTGCAGATGAAATGTTTGAAGCTGAAAAGTATTGGATAAAGTTGACACAAGAAAGAAGCTTCAGTCCTGAAATCAGTTTGCTGAAAGCTGGAAAGACACTGAACGCAGACTCAAAAATCAGAGATTTAAGACCTTTTCTGGACGAGGACGAATTGCTCTGTGTTGGAGGCAGACTCCAACAGTCAGACTTCAGCTACAGAGAGAAACATCCATGGGTTTTGCCCAACAAAGACAGATATTGTGAGTTGCTGGTCCAGTACAACCATGAATTCATCATGCATTCTGGTTTGAGAGACACACTAGTGCAAACAAGAAGTAGATACTGGATTTTGAGAGCCAGACAAATCGTTAAAGGTGTTTTGTCAAAATGTACTGTGTGTAAGAGATTCAAAGTCAAGCCCGCACAGCAGGACACGGCTCCATTGCCAAGGGACAGAGTATCTGAGAAACCACCATTTGAAGTGACTGGCATAGACTTTGCAGGACCGCTGTATGTGAAGGGTGATCGTGCATTATGCAAGGCTTATGTTGCTCTGTTTACATGTGCTGTCACGAGAGCGGTGCATTTAGAACTGGTTTCAAGTCAGTCGACAGAGAGTTTCTTGTTAGCACTCAAGCGATTTATTTCCAGAAGAGGGTTGTGTAAAGTCATCTATTCGGACAACGCCAAAACCTTTAAAAGAGCAAACCAAGACCTTAGTGAGCTGTGGAAAGCCATCAAAGATCCACAAATCCTGGAATACTTCTCAGGAAAGGGAATAACTTGGCGTTTCATTGTAGAACGAGCTGCCTGGTGGGGTGGATTTTGGGAAAGACTTGTAAGGTCTGTGAAAATGAGCATGAGGAAGGTGCTAGGAAAGGCATCGCTCACATTTGAAGAAATGTCTACGCTTCTTGCAGAAGTAGAAGCCATACTGAATTCCAGACCTCTCACTTTTGTTCACAATGAGCTTGATGAGCCGCAGCCACTAACGCCAGCACATTTCTTAGTTGGTGAACGACTCACTTCACTACCTCCAAAACCATTTCCAGCCGACTATGATCATCCCACTGTGAGTAAGGGTGATATGACAAGAAGGTGGAGATACAGAAACCGACTCATGACCAACCTGTGGAATCGTTGGAGGAGGGATTATCTACTGGATCTGAAATCTGCACATTCCTGCAACACGCAGAAACCTACTCAGTTGAAAATGGGTGACGTTGTGCTCATAGGAGATGTCAATATGCCGAGACAAACCTGGAAATTGGGAAAGATTGAAGAGCTGTTTCCAGGCAGAGATGGCAAAGTTAGATCCTGTGCTTTGCGTACATCCACAGGGACTGTGTTGAAGAGACCCGTTCAATTGCTTTATGCATTAGAGATTTAAGTTGATGAACATTTGTTCATGGGGGGGAGGATGTTGTGAATTAATCAGAATAGAAATGTGAATTTGTTATCTTTAATAATAACAGAAACAGTTTGACATTAATGGGGGTGTTCAGCTTTAAGAGAATTCTACCAATAATGCATCAGTGTATGTGAGGAAAAAAAGAGAAAGAGATTGTTTTCATGTGCGAGCGCTGTATCTAATGATTCAAGTTCAGAAACTACAGTAAACAGTTCAGTTTATTCAATTCAAGTCGTCAGTGGTCATTATTGCTGGTCAAGGAAGAAAATACACGACAGCTCACATGAATTTCTATGTGAGAACAGTTTACTTATAAAGTGCTGTCCATGTCTTAACCTAGTCTTAGTCTTGTTGTTAAAATGTTGTTTAAACATTTGTTTAACATTTAACTGCATCTACAGTGATCACAGTTTAAAAAAAATTATAAAATGAGAACAGGATTTTTGCATATCCAATGAGAAAATAAGATAAAGTGTAAAAGTGCAAACAATTCAAATCAATCTCAAATAAACACAAGATTCAATCACATTGACTTGTGGTTGTATATGTCTGTGGTTAAAGTCCCTGTGAATTGGAAGTTGCAAACAAATTTTCTCCAGTGTTGTGACGTATTTCCGAGAGAAATGGAATACTAAATGAGGCAAAATAGTGGGCGTGGATTTTTTTTTTCCAACTAGCACATGATTGGATCAAGAAAAGTAGGTGTAACACCAATAGAGAGCCTAAGTCCCTCCCCTTCCGGTCGATCACCTTGGGACCTTCTTTCGGAAAAATATTGTATGGTAGTCAATGTCGAGAGACAACAAAATTTTGATCTCGTTTGAATTATGCCTTGAATTACACACATGATGTTTGTCAATTTAAAAGATACATTTTAAAGTAAAGAAAGTCGCAGTTTGATGTAAAACCGTTGAGGTATAAGACTGTGAAAATACGTAATTACAAAGACTACAAACCCCAAAGGCACACATTTTCTCTCAATGAATGAAGCTAACTTTACTGAGGCTGTCTGTCATTGTTTCTACAGTCTTACGTTATAATCGTAACGTTACGCCGTCATACCTGAGTGTTTTGTACCAGACTGCACACACACGAGCAGCGGATCTCGTTTCGCTTCCCAGGAGATGTAGTTCATAGAGCGATTTTCACATAAAAAATGTTACTCTTCTGTTTTATGACAAACTGCGACGTTTTTGACTTTCAGAATTATCTTTTAAATTGACAAACATCATATGTGTAATTCAGGACACAGTTCAGACGGAATAAAAAGATAAGTTGTCTCTCGCCATTGACTACCATTCATATTTTTTACGAAATAAGGTCCCATGAGCCCGAAGCGGAGGGGCGGGACTTAGGCTCTCTATTGGAATTATAAAACTATTTTTATTTGCTTTTTATCACTAAGAATCACCACAATTTTGGCCGACTGTTACGTTCCACGTGTATTTGTGTTTTTTTTCTTCTTCTTCTTCTCTCTGTGTGTCCATTCATTGTTTTTTGAGGTGGCGGATTGCTCGTTGGCTGTGTGTCTTTATTGGGATCACGTGACATCAGCCGCCTCACCAATCTGCTGCTGCGACGTTGAGCTTAAAAAGCTCATTCATGAGACTGAAGACAGATCCTTGCGAGATCCCGGTGGTCTCTGCAAGATCTCATCAAACTTTTTGCCAGATCTCAGCTTGCTTATTTCTACAGAGCTAATTTGTAGAATGTACCATTTAGACGTAGTGAGGTGATCGTTAGCTCCACTGTTTGAGTAGCCTAACGTTTGTGAATGTATTATGGGTTTATTTGCGTTAATGCTTTAACAGGCGTGATATGAGTTTTGATATGTGAATGAGTTAGGTGTTAATCATTAGTTCAAAGTTCTGTTATTTTTACTGACCATGGGGGACATATTTAACATCAACGGGAGGTAGAGTTAATTTTTTTGTTAATTAGGCGTGGAGTGTTTTGTCATGATTGTATTTTTGTTTTTAGGTACTATAGTTTAGTTAAGGCGGCGCATCCGCCGAAGATTTCGGTTTTATTTCTACATTTTTCTTTGTTAGTCAGTTTAGAGGGATGACTAAAAAAATTATATATTATTTTTATGTTTTGATTATTTCAATGATTTGACAACACTCCTTTGTTTTTTCCTTATTTTTTTTATTACTCTTATTTTCATTTGTGTGGTTTATTTCATTGTTCATTCTTGAGAAATAAACGTCTAGAACGTTAAGTGATGTTTTCTTGGTGTTCTTTTCTGCATTCGCACATCACAACAGTGCTTCACATTTATGTTACGTAATCATCCTGCTGTGATATGGCTGCTGGCACTGCCTTTGCCAGCAGCCATATCACCCTGTAGCCCAAGACTGGTTGCCCACTGAAGCTAAGCAGGGCTGAGCCTGGTTAGTACCTGGATGGGAGACCTTCTGAGAAAGCCAGGTCGCTGCTGGAAGAGGTGTTAGTGAGGCCAGCTGGGGGTGCTCACCCTGTGGTCTGTGTCGGTCCTAACGCCCCAGTATAGTAATGGGGATACTATACTGTCAAAAGAGCACCGTCCTTCGGATGAGACGTTAAACCGAGGTCCTGACTCTCTGTGGTCATTAAAAATCCCAGGATGTCTTTCGAAAGAGTAGGGGTGTAACCCCGGCATCCTGGCCAAATTTGCCCAGTGGCCTCTGTCCATCATGGCCTCCTAATCATCCCCAAATATACCAATTGGCTTCATCACTGTCTCCTCTCCACCAGTAAGCTGGTGTGTGGTGAGCGTTCTGGCGCACTATGGCAGCCGTCGCATCATCCAGGTGGATGCTGCACACTGGTGGTGGTTGAGGAGATTCCCCCCTCTATGTGAAGCGCTTTGAGTGTCCAGAAAGGCGCTATATAAATGTGATGAATTATTATTATTATTATTATTATTATTATCATCCCTTTTACCAGCTTTAAACACGTAACACCGACCATAAAAATGGCCGATTGTTTCGCTAAGATAAAACCCTTATTCCTTGTCTGGGATCGTGTAGAGCCCTTTGAAACTGCACTGAAACTGCAATTTGGAAAAAATGTTTTCCTCAAAAATTTTAATTTCTTTTCGACTGAGTAAAGAAAGACATGAACATCTTGAACGATGTGGCTGTGAGTAAATTATCAGGAAATTTTAATTCTGACTTGAACTAATCTTAATGTTAATCAAACAACAAAGGACAAAGAAATCACTCACTGCCTTTGACAATTACTTTTTTAACTTTAATTAAATTAATCTATATTTAATGTATCCAGTCAAGACTCTGCTGTAGTGTTATTTTTCATTGATTACTTTATTCAAATTCTGCACCTATATAGACCATTTTGCAAGATGTAAACAACACTGGTCCAGAAACACTTCCTGTTTCGGTTCTTTATTTCACATGTAAAGAAAACATCTTAAAGATGTTTGTTTAACTTTTTGATTCAATTTTATATGTTCTGTTGGTTGTATTTTATCCCAGCTTTTATGTAATGTTAAAAAACTGAAACAGGAAGTGCTTCTGGACCAGTGTTGTTTACATATTGCAAAATGGTCTATAACATATGGTTATAGTGCCACTTAGCACCACTAGCATCAAGAGCAGAAATGCGTACCAACGGCAGGAAAAAAATGCATTCTTGTTGAGTACTATCTGTAGAGAATTCTGTTCATGCAGCCATATATGAGCACTGTTTATTCATATCGCACATTAAAGTCATATCATGGGCTCACAGCGTGGGCACAAGTAGAGAGCACAACGTGTGTGAATTAGCACCATTTGTTGTTTGCTTTTGCATCTGACAGAGCATTTGGACCTGGAAACGGTGACACGTGATGTAACAGGTGGATAATGAATGCAGTAGGATTCTCACCTTATTTATCCAAGTGGTTATTGCCTCTTCAGCATCATAAGGGAAGTCCTCCTCAGGAAGGAAAGGAGTAAACTTCTGTATGCATGTCAGCACTCTCTCCACGCTCACCATTTCCACTGTGTACGCCATCATTAAAGTGTCTATCACCGCAAGATGAGAACTCTGAAAAAAAAAATAAAAAAAAATAAATAAATTTCACATTTTCCTATAACAACACAAATGCAAATGTTTTAAATGGCAGGCCGTGACATACATAACTGACAGAAACATACATCATTTTTACAGCTATATACTGTACATAAGTATCATCTAAATTAGTAAAAAAAAATACATGTAAATAAAATACAAGTGTATTTTTTTTTGACCCAAGTAGACATTAAACATGTCTACTTAGCTTGCATTTCCATTTAGATTGCTTACAAATTTACTGGATATTATCCTAAAATCAGATACTCCCTGGAACTTAATTTTAGAAACAATAAAATAAGCTGAAACAAACAATATATGCAACGCACAATAAATGATGACTGTGTTGGTGCCTTTTTCTCCGACTTCTGTTGAATCAAACATCAACACATTGTCTGGTGGTTAGTCAGAGACAGATTCAGTCCTCTAGAGGGTGACAGTAAAGCCATTTTTACCAGACTATGAAGAAAGTAGTGAAAGTTCCTTGTTCAGCAGTGAACCACTTTTTCTCAGAGCATAGAAAATGTTATAATGTTTGTTGAAATACATAACAGTAGCTTTGATGGCTATGAGTGAAAAAGCAGACATGAGAAACCTAAACTTCTCAGGCCTCTTATGGAAGTGGTGTCCTGGAGGATTGCCTGACCAGAACTCCATATTGTATTCTCCTTAACCCCATTTACCAATATAAAACACTTAATTACTCTAGCAGTCCTATCTTTGGAAAGTGCAGCAGTGGTAAACCATTACTTGTGTATTTGTACACTGGGCAAGTCCCATGTGATTGTGCTTTGCCATTTTAAATGATGTTGTTTCTATTATGTGTCACTTGTTCAACTTTGATACAAGAATATCTGTAGGCTGTGACTGGCATAAAATCTCTTTGACCATTTTTAAAGAAAGTGTAACTTTCTGATTAAAATTATAAAAAGGACATGTAAACCAAAACAAACATGTAACTGCTCAAACATTAAACCAAACAAATCCTCAAGCAATTAAAATTAACAAAATGACAGTTTAATCCATGGAGATCAGCAAGCGTTTCACCATCCCTAAATAAAGAAGAAAAGATTTCATTTAAAATCCAAACATGCTGTATAAATAAATTTCAGAAGAAACACGTGCTTTCAAGCATGTGCTCATATTTTGCCATTTAGACAGTTTGATTAGGAAAAACTAATTCAATACACATATGTAAAGCTCTTATAAATACTAACAGATGACAAGTTTTTAATCTTTAATCTGCCTTAAGTATTTTACCAAGTATTTATCGTAAGCATCCAAAAGAAAAAGAAAAAAAAAACTTCACCCAGTTGGACATTCAGCATGTCCAACTGAGTGCTGCCAGCCTACCACACACAACCTGTACAGTCATGATAGGCCATGCTATAAAAATAAATTATGCTATAAAAATAAACATTTGGAAACTCTCAATATGCCACATTTGGGATTGTGAAAACGTGTACGGATTTGCGGACATGCGGATTTGTCAGATATAATCTTGTGAGCTAGCGTTAACCACATCTTTAGATCATGCAGGAGTGTTTACTTACAATGCTGGTCAGAATTATTTACCCCTTGGTAAATATGATCAAAGATGGCTGTAAAAAAAATAATCTGCATTGTTAATCTTTTTGATATTTTATCAAAAAATGTGCAAAAATCTAACCGTTCATTGAAGTAAAAGAATTGAAAGTGGGGGGAAATCACATTATGAAATAAAAGTTTGTATCCAAAACAAGTTGGGATCAATTATTTGCCCCCTTTATTGAATACCTTTTGCAACCATTTCCCAAGAGAACAGCTCTTTCCCAAGAGTCTTCTTCTATAATGCCTGATGAGTTTGAACACCTGACAAGAGATCAGAGACCATTCCTCCATAGAGAATCTCTTCAGATCCCCAAATCCACGTTGGTGCTTCTTCTCTTCAGTTCAGCCCACTCATCTTTTATAGGGTTCAGGTCAGGGACTGGGATGGCCATTGCAGATGCTTGGTTTTGTGCTGCTTAGTGACACATTTTTGTTTTGATTTTGATGTTTGTTTTTGGATCACTGTCCTGTTGGAAGATCCAAACATGGCCCGTAAGATTTCACGCACAGGCTGTCAGGTTTTGATTTTTTATCTGTTGTTGGTATTTGATAGAATACACGATGAACAAGATGTCCAGGATCTCTGGCAGAATATTAGGCCCACAATGATACAGCAGAGTATTTCATTTTACACATGGGTTACTTCTTTATCCCTGTGTGCACCAAACCCATCTTAACACATAAAACAACAAAAAAATAGCTTTTTGGCAGCAAACACTTACTATGGGTTTGGTTCATACAATGAATTTCATATAATTTTCTGCCAGAGGTACTGAACATCTTGTTCATATACATGGCATCATGGATTCTATCAAATACCAACATATAAAACAGATTCTGTAAGGAGGAATGATCTCTTATCGCTTGTCAGGTGTTCTCCAAACACGCCAGGCATTTTAGGAGAAGACTCAGAGCTGTTCTCTTGGAAAAAGGTTGCAAAAAGTATTCAATAAAAGGGGGCAAATAATTGCTCCAATGTGTTTTGGAGAAAAAAAACATGTATTTCATAATGTAATTCCCAAACTCTGAACAAGTTTTATGTTTAATTTTTCTATTTATTTTGTACTTTTATAATAGAGATGCTTTTCAGTGTTCTAGCTAATTGTGACCAAATACCTTTTGTTTTAAATCAGCCCAACAAAAATTTGCATTTTATGCAAATGTTGCATTCTGTTTACTGCTTAAAGGATTATTCCACCTCAAAATAAAAATTTCCTGATAATTTACTTCATGTCTTTCTTTCTTCAGTGGAGAAGAAATAATTTTTTTTGAGGAAAACATTAAAAATGCACAAAATGGAATTCAACGGTAACCAAATTGCTGAAGTCCAAATCAATGCAATTTCAAAGGGCTTTGAAGAGCTTGAAAGGGTTCTGCAAGATCCCAGCTGAGGAATAGCGTCTTATAGCGAAACAATCGGTAATTAAAAAAAGATTTCCTGAAGAACTGAACAAGGAGTAGAGTTAGATCGCAGTTCTCGCGCATGTGTCGTGGAAATCTCTTGAACTCTCATCTCAGGCCTACAAGGAAGAAAAGGAATAGTCGAATAAAGTCGTTATTTTTGTTTGTTTTTTCGCACAAAAACTATTTGCGTCGCTTGATAAACTTATACTTGAGCCACTGTAGTCACATGGGATATTTAAACATTTTCTTCAATGACTCTCTGGGTTGTCAAGTTTCAATCCCTTAGGGTGCCTATGTAGCAGTGATCAAGCTCTCAAATTTAATCAAAAATATCTTCATTTGTGTTCCGAAGATGAACGAAGGTCTTACGGGGTTGGTACAGCATGGGGGTGAATAATTAATGACTTATCATTTTTGGGTGAACTAACCCTTTAACATGAAATGGAAACCGTTATAGTTTTTACCCCTATTGTGATATATCCAAGTGAAAAAATGTAGGATGGAACTTTTACTCATGGAAAATCGATTGGATGGTAATGCAACATGTTGATTTAAAATCAGAACAAAACAGAAGCATTTTCATCAGTGGTTTTAGCCATTCAGTCTCCACTGTACATTCAGTTTAAACCATCACCTTCTGTGTTTAAACTGCTACATTGTCGAGTGAGCGGATATGTGCGTGCGGTCAACACTTTTTCTCCCAAATATGCTGATTAAAGGGAATATCATCAATGCAGTTTCACAGCAGTGCAGATCTCTCTCACACACACCTCGACACACTGCCGCAGTGCTAATCGCCATGCCAACAGGCAAACCCACCCATGTGCACATATTAGAGAGAACTCCTACAGAGACAGGAGAATGACCTGTGATTATGGACATGGTAAGGTGTTTCTGTGTATCAGTGAGAGAGATTTTCACACTGCAAACCAGAGAAGACATGCACTTCTCACATGTGCACATCATACGGTATCTGAACAACCCTGCCAACCATAAACACACACGCTGTGGCTGATGCAAAGACAAATCTGATAGCATGTGTTTTCATGCCGGAGCTTACAAGTATGTAGGGTGACTCTGCAAGATTGTGGATGTGTCTGTGACTTAATGTGCCTGTAGTGTGTGTGTTAAAACAGATGGTCTAGAGACTGAGTGCAATACCCTCAGAGAGGTATATGCACCTAAATTAAATTCTGAAAGGATACTGACTGATTGTTACTGCAGAGACCGAGAGAGTGAGGGAGAGAAAGGGAATACTGCAATGCAGACATCAGCAGTTCCTAATATGGCAGTGTCCAGTTCTCCTCCTCATCCACCCAACACTTTACATCTTATAACACCCTTAAATCAAGTGCACACTGCAGCCTACATACAGTATAGCGACCAAAAGCAGTATGCATTACCAGTCCACTACCATTGAAATGATCTTAATGCCTTAATTAAAAAAATGAGGAAAAGTCTAACATTATAGGACACCAATTAATAATGTATCATAAATAAATAAATGTTCTTCATTAAAATACAGGGTGCTTAAGTCAGGACACCCCTGACATACCCTGTTAAATTCCCATAGAGGCAGGCAGATTTTAATTTTTAAAGGCCAGTTATTTCATTGATCCAGGATACTAGACATCCTGATAAAGTTCCCTTGCCTTTGTTTGGAATTAAAATAGCCCAACATCATCACACACCCTACACCATACCAAAACTGTCAAGTAAGTTTCATTAATGACGTTTCTCCTTTAATTTGATTGTCTGTATTGTCCCTCATAACCTGTAGTATAACAAGCCTATAAGCTTAAAGGGATCGTTCACCAAAAAAAGAAAATGATCCCATCCTTTACTCACCCTCAAACCATCCTAGGTTTATATGACTTTTTTCTTTCAGCCAAACACAATTTGAGTGATATTAAAAATGTCCTGTCTCTTCCAAGCTTTATAATGGGAGTGAATGATAACTTAAATTTTAAAGCCCAAAAAAGTGCATCCATTCATCATAAAAGTAATCCATACGGCTCCAGGGTGTTAATAAAGGCCTTCTGAAGCAAAGCGATGCATTTGTCAGAAAATATCCATATTTATAACTTCATAAAATAAAATCACTGACGTAGGATGTACTGTAGGAGTAGCGTAAGCTTAGGTGAGAGTAGACGACTCTTACAGTTCAAACAAATAGGGCTGGGCAACAAACCCAAGCTCATCTTCTCTTATATCGAAATCCTCAGACATTTCTCTTTAAAAATTCTCATTTTACACCTGTAATTTGTGATCTGCATTTTGTTTTGCTCTGTCCTCAGCGTTTGTCAATACATCATGCGTCATGCAGCCAGTTATTATACAGTAGTTTATAAAGCTGTCAAAATACTCCCTCACCTTGCTTACTTCCGAGTGGACATTTCTCTGAACCCTCCGCCACAGAGAAAACCAACGCATGCCAAATCGGAGGTCAAATTAAATGTTTTTGTTTTCCAATAAAAAAATACACTTTTCAAAATAACATCATACTAGTATTTCCAAGTCAACTAGAAGCAGCAGTATCGCACATCTTAAACCCTTGCACTCTAAATCCGAAAGTAGTTCTGCAAACAGATAAAAAGGTGTATTGCCAAATCACTTGCCATCTGTATGGGGGTCTTGCAGAGGTCTCTCTCAGTCACGAGTCTCTCCTGGTCAGTGACGTAGAGGCCTTTCTGAGCGAGGGCCTGGATGATGGCGTTGTGACCCAGCAGAGGTTTAGCCGCGTCGCTCCTGAGGATCAGACTCCCCGCACGGCAATACAACTCCGCGGACAGCAGCAGAGACACAACCGGAGGCTTCACATGCTCCTGATCATACTGGTCCCGGTAAAACGGATCGTCCAACTCCACGGGTACACAGTCTAAAGAGAGAAAGAGGGAGACTGGGATTGATTACACAACCAAAAGTGTCTACTGGTTTGTAGGGTAATAAGAAAAAGTGATTACTTGAGCTAATCATGTGAGGAGGGTAAAACATATTTATCAACAACCAGTTCAATTCAATCCTTCAGGTGGAAAAAAAAAAGAACTTAATGTCCCTTTAAATCTGATTCAGGATCAATGATTGGTCGGAAAGACTGATGTGAGGTCAATGAGTGGAATCTAAAAAGAAAGACACACTGTTTTCAGTCTAATCCCATTATGGCTCTCACTTAATCTGATTTACTCTATCTGAAGCTCTTCAGAATAGTACCATAGATCCAAACACAGAAAAAAACAAGACAGGTACAGGCATGCATGAATTCAGTCAAACACACAGAGACTGTAATCACTGGGCTGACACAATTACACACACACACACGTAAACACCCAGGTACAGGCCAGCAAAAACTGAGTCACGACGAGCACTTGCCCACAAAAAAAAGCAGTTGTTATGCACGTAAACAGAAATTAACAGCATCAGGATGATAACATCTGCGAACAGACTGACAATTCAGCTCTGTTTCTGACGCTGAAGTGCGACTGCAAATATCTGAGTCTAGAAGGCCAAGGAAATTCCTGGCATCCCATAATGCTTGAGCGTGAGTCAGACTACAGGCAATGTAGATTCCTGCTCTTTCCGGGTCATTTCCTTTCAGTATGTCTTTGTGCATGTGTTCTTTTTCTTTTTCAGCAGCAGGAAATGTCTTAAAGGTGCAGTACAGATCCTGTTTAAAAATAAACATCACAAATAACAAAATGATGGGGGAAAAAAACTTTTGAGATTAAAATAAATAGATAGATAGATAAATAAAAATTTATATTAATCAGCTAAGTCTGTGTGCGGCAGAAAAAGTGTCTTAAAGGAGCAGTACAGTTTCTGTTAGATGTTCTTAAACACATGCATTATTGTATTTGTGTTTAAGGCCTGATACAGACTGTGTGATTTCAACAATCCTATAATCTAAAGGATTACCAATAATCCTACGAATCACACTGTGCGACGTAAATCTAATTAACAGACTGTACGATGATGACACTTATTGAATTGTAGGCTACGGCGCAAGAATAAAACTTCATCAGCAAGCACTAGTGGTAAACAAATAGCACTTTGCAAAAAAAAGGAGGAAGAGCGAAAGAGGAGAATATGGATGCGGTCATGGGAAAAGAGACTAACTTGGCATACCAATTTTATTGAGTTAGGTGGTTATAAATTTTAGCACAATGTAGTGTTGATCAATACGCCATTTTTATTGGCTAGTCAGTAAACGTAAGTTGTAGCAGCAAACTCTGACACTGTCAGAAAATGATCACAGGCTATCTTGGGGCACAAGACTGTGACAACGGCCGTCTTTGAACCTTTCTCATTGTAGAACGTAGTACCACCGTTTAGGAGCAAGCAACATCCATTGAAAATACCACTATTGGTCATCTTTTGTCTGCGTGGGACATCCAAAAATCTTACAATGTGTTCTGGGCAATGGGCATAAGTGATTTTTACAGAATTCCCTAAACAGCTGTTCTACGTTTGAACTGTACCCTAAGCACCTGCCATGCAATTTAACCAGGCACTAAAAGCCCACAAAAGCATAAAGCGTATGCCAAAAAAATGTAAAATAACTGATTCAAAAAAGTCCTGGATAATTGGGACAGTTAGATTTCACTGGTCCCCAATTGAACAAGTTTTTATATGGGGCGTTTACATAAGAAGCATCAAAAGATATAATATATACAACCTCTCACACAAATGATCTATTTCGTTGTTGGGTAACACTTTACAATAAGGTTCATTGGTTAACATTAGTTAACTACCTTAGTTAACATGAACTAAGCAATACAGCATTTATTAATCTTAATTTCAACATTTACTAATACATTATTAAAATCAAAGGTTATATTTGTAACTGTGAACTAACATAAACAAACAACGAATAGCTGTATTTGTATTAACAAACATTAACAAAGATTAATAAATACTCTAACTAATGTATTGTTCATTGTTGGTTCATGTTTTTTAATACATTACCTTATGTTAACAAATGAACCTTATTGTAAAGTGTTACCAGTTGTTGAATGACTAGCTGACCATCATTATATCCATCCCTCATTTCCTCCATTAACATTAAGTTTAACTCATGGCAACAGTCATTGTGTTTTCAATATTTACAGAGGCATCAGAAAACTCTTAAAATCATTCCCCCTAACCTTTATGAAAAGCTGCTGCGTCAATGGAAACCCTTTCCCTGCCAGTCTTTACTAGTTCAGAGCCAAAAACATAAAACACACGCACACAGACCTTCTGTAAAGCTCACAGTTTTTCCTGAACATGCTCCTAAAGAGCTGCCTGATTATGGAAAGGTTTTTCCCCTGCGTTTCATCCCATCTCGGACAGAGGCAGGAAGCGGCTCTCGGAGGAATGACAAACACAGGGAGGAAGTGAGGGGTCAGAGAGAGAAAAGCCTGAGGCAGCAAGTCACCACGACCCACAAAAGCCTTTCAAACGTCCAACTCTGTGCTTTTGTCTAAATGTTACTGTAAAAAAACATAACTCAGTTCATTTATGAAATTATAATCTTATAAGGTCAATTAAAAAGGTTTTTACTTCAGATAATATATTACATTCTTAAAGATATTTTAGATATATGCTTATACTGTACTAATCATTCCAAACATATTGAGACTGACATGTTCTATGAACAACTTGTCTGTTAAAGGAAAATTATGGAAAATTCACTTTTACATGGTGTTTGGACATAAATGTGTGTTGGCAGTGTGTGAGCAAAACCAATTTAGAATGATAAAAATCCACCCAGTGTTTTTTTTTTTTTTTACAATCTCAGTAAATCCTGTCTCAGAACGAGCTGTTCTGATATTCGGCGCAGTGTGACGTAGAATTGCGCAAGCCCCACCGACGTGGTTTGACAGTGTGGTTTTGGCATAGACTCCGCCCTCGGTGATCTGTACACCATCCTCAATTGTTTCAATGACAGCCGGTGTTCTGATGATTTGTGCTGCCTTATCGAAAATGTCTCCTAAGAAAATGTTTTGTTGTTGGATGTATTAATAATTTACATAGTAGTTTTCACTTCCGACATCAGAGCCACTGAAAACGCAGTGGATGGATTTTATTTACGAGAACTTCAAAAATATGTTTATGTTTGCGCAAATCATTTTCTGACTGACTGTTTTGTAAACGAGGTTCAATTCAAAGCAGTTCTTGCGTCAAAGTTAATCCTCAAGTGTGGATCGTTGCCTACTGTTCGCGATCCAACGTCCACCTGAACACCTCCTGAAGGAGTAAGTGTATTTTATGATTTTTGAGCAAATAGTAATTTCAGTCGATGTCAGCCAATTCAAAAACAAATGCGTATAAAGTTGTTGTCGTCGTCGTAGGATGTCTATGTATATAATTTAAACCTTGTTTAGTGTGTAACCACATGTTTATAAATATATTGTATTAAAAACTGTGTATGTTCTGTAACTAGCCATCTTCGCACATTTACCACATTAGCACCTGTACAAGTAATGTAAAACATGACGCAACAGGTCCCTCGCATAAATGTAATTTCGTTTGTACATATCAAACCTTATCACAGTATTTGTGTTTGTAGTTTCAAAAAATTGTGCCAACCTTATCACTTTCAGTTTGTGTGTGTCTGAGTGTGTGTTGCGCATTCATAATTGCAAAGGGGATGTGATTACAACTCTATAAGTACATAAATGTATCAACCATTCCGAGACGTCCTGGTCCATTCTCATTTGTGTTTCTTCTGAGTCTCTTCATCATCTGGGTCTGATCAGAGACTATTTATATTCCGGTTCAAACTTGTATGGCTGAATGCCATACAAAACCGCGGGTCTCTCACTTTCTCAGCCGTTCTCCTTCTCCATTCTCGTACCGAGTGTTCATTGCCATAGGTATGCAAGTGACGCCCTCATCCAAAGGCAGGGTGGGGATATGCAGCTCATTTGCATTTAAGGTGGTACACACCAAAACAACTCTTTTTAAAACAGGCCCAAAAAATGACATTTTCAAATGGTTATAATAAATTAACTGTGGGGTATTTTATGCTGGAACTTCACAAGTAGATTCTGGTGACACCTGAGACCATCTTGTAAAAAGGGGCATAATAGGTGCCCTATAATTCTGTAATAATTTAATCAAGATTTAATTCCAAACCCTTCCATGTTTAATTTATTCAAAAGTGCTCTGTAATACTTATGCGTTATAGTCCAACCAAGTTACCTGTAAGTTATCATATAAAAAGAGACCAAAATTAAAAGTAATAATTCACTGATAATCTTCCAATTTAAACTGAAGAACTGGTTAAATTTGTAAATTAATCATAAGACCGATATCTTGAACAGGATCAAATAATAATTTATTAAACATCGGATTCAAAACAACTTCTCTTATAAACTCTCCTGAACACAGAAAGGAGAGCTGGCCATAAATGTGGGCATGTTTCTCACAGCCTTACTCCCCATTTACTTTTATTATACTAAATATACAGAATATTCAAAAGTGTCAACTTTTGTGGAAGAAAATAAGTCAATCAGGGCTTGCCGAGTTAATGATGACAATTTTTTTTTTTATATATTTCCAGTGTCAGACTGCCAGTTGCGATACATTTCTCATAACACAAGTAAACATTAATTTAATCAGTCTCATTTAAAAATCTGCTGACACTATACCTTTAAGAACGACATTCAACGCTATTGATTTCTCATAGCCTATGTAACATACAGTGCGTGTTAGAGAATAACAGTGCACACAGTCACATGTGTACATCACACACTCCCAGCAGCACCCCTCAGGCTTCAGTGATGTAACAGGAACGAATGCTCTCTGTCGTGGTATGTGCAGTATGCCACAGATGTAAGGCTGGGGGTAAAGACAGCACAACATGAACAACACAGCCGTGAAGGCCTGCAGGCACTCAAAACATCTGCTTGTGACCTTGTTTATTTTTCATTTCTGAGCAAAGTATCTGAATGAACAGACATCCACCAGACTCTCTTTTCAATCTAAGGATGCCTTGCAATGGTGGGGCTCATTTTCCTGTGTTTGTTTCATTCTGCCGTGAAGAACAGTGACTGATGGGGAGATGTTATCACACTTACAAAAACAGTACCATGGTGGTGCTCTTGGTATTTAGCCTACATGGCATATATCCCAAACTAGGACTATCAAGGTAAATACATGTTAAATACATGTAGCACAATTTAGCATACTTTAAAAAAGGTGAACATGAAACCCTTCACACATTTTCTCACAACATTAAACTCAAACTCAAAAAACCTTTGACTCTTCTGGCAAAGTAAAAAAAAAAAATCACTTCAAAACCCTTTCACCTGGACCCAATATCAAACAATGATTTCAGATACACACGAGTCAATAATATAAGCACAACAGATCATTCATTTGCAGTCCAACTGCTTAAGCCAAAAAGGTCCAATAAAACTCTAAATGAAAAACATGTTACAGTACACTCAAATAGTTGTGCAACTACAAAATCAAGGTCAATGAGAGATTGATTCTGCTTCAGCATCATGTCTTCCTGCTGGCTCTGGCCTGAGGACACAGGCAATGTTGTCTCTTGCCAGGCAAAGAGAAAAGCCCTCTAGTCTGACAGATCCAGCTTTGATAATACTCTTTACCCCTTGCTCTTTCTCATCCTCTTCCTCCTCGCCCATCTTCCTCTTCTTCCTTTTAGACATCTGAGTTAACATTCAGTGGACCTGTGCGCTCTGGTTAGGCTTGTTTTGTACACTTAGTATAATCACATCATTAGAAACAAGGTGTGAACAATTTTGAAACGTTGTGTGTAAATGATGACTGTTTTTAGTTGTGTTGAACTTTTGCCTCTTGTATAAGTGTTTTGTGACACAAATGTATCACAGTGTGAAATGTGTGTGAGAAGAATAAGTTTAGAGTTTTGCAAAAAAGGAGTGCATGAGATTTGCAAATAGTGTCTAACTGCCTAAACTTGTTTAAGGTTTTTCAGAAAGAGTGATTTATTCGACAAATTGGTTTAGGCTAGTGAGAATTTAGTTTAGAGAATGGGGTGTCTTAACAATTGTGAAAAACTGTATGCAATTGGTGCTTTTTGTCCCACTTAAGAAAGAAATTGATGTAATTTTATAATTACTTCTATTGTCCTTAAAGGGCAGTCCACAGTTTTTCCTCTTTGTCGCCATCTCTGTTCAAAATCTGCAATTGCAGTTTTCTTGTGGAATTATTACAGTAACTTGTGCCATCAAATTGAAAAGTTTAATTATATCAAGTGCTGTGAGAAAAGTGTACTATAAATCTCCACCTCCAGCATCCTCAAAAGCAATATAACCTACTAGCTAAAACTCCTTCTTTATGTGTACAGAATAGATGTGACGTAATGACGCAAAGACATGCTTGAATCTCCCATGGAAATCCACCAGTACCACAGTCTGGAAATAAAAACATTAGCTTACCGCTTTGAATCGAGCTAACGCATGCAGATAGTTTTTAACACTGGCTGGTTATGTATTTTCTCAAATATGTATTTTTGATCATTTTTAACCCCCCCAAAAAAGCTGCAGACTGGAGCTTTAAAATGGTTACTGTTGAATATACTGACAAGCATTCACGGCAATTAAAATAATTTTAGTTGAATTTTCGTTAACACTTCAATACAGGGGTGCATTTCCCGAAAGCATCGTTAGCCAACTATGGTCGCAAGTTCCGTTGTTACCAGCATAGTTCAACGAGTCGGTGTTTCCCGAAACCATCGTTCCAACGAACATTCGGAAACAGCATCGCAAAGTTGTGTGGTTTGAACGACAGCTCTCGACCTGTGGTTAGAAGCTTCGTTTCTATATTTCATGACATTTGGAAGTAATAAATCCTTATCTTGAGCAAAATAAGCAGGCTGACATTCAGTACAACCGGTGCCTTTTATTCAGCATACATACAAATGTAATTTACGTCTTTTAGTTTAAAGTACTTTTAAGATTTAAAGTACCGTGTTTGAAGAGTGCGCATGTGCGAACTCGCTCCACTATGTAAGAACGAGCCAAATATTGAGTCTGGTAATAAAAGCAAAACAACTGAGAACAATTAGAAATAGTCCTCAGATGACATGTCTGTAAATTATATAAAACAAATCTAGCGTTAATTGGATCTCAAAAGTAGTTATTACTCCACCATGCGCGAAATACTTTGCAACGTTTGGTTAGCAAACTGACATTGAATCAATACGTCTTTGACAACAAGATTTGGAATTAACGTTTCAGACGCGGCATTCTTCAAAGCTAAATGTCGTGACTAGCTCAAGTTGATTGACGCATCTTCCAACGATGCATCGTACTATGGTAGTGAAGCAGTGAACTACGTCATTGTACGGGAAACGGACCCCAGTTAAGCACAGTTCTTTTTCACAAGGGCTGCTATGTCCAAAAATGATGGTAACCCTGAGTAGTTTTTGTTATTGTCACTGTCAGCAGCACTAATATAGGGGATTCAAAGACATCTGCAATAGAGATCAGAGTAAATCCATGCTTTATCAACCACATTATGAGTTCATGTACACACCAGCAAAAAAGCTTTTTACACACACACACACTTCTGTCAGGAACCGTCTTCATCTTAACCCTGTTGCATTGCACTCCACAGGTCTCTGTTGTGGGCGCTCTAGCAATAAAAGCCACATTGCTTTATGTCCATGCAAGTTTGATTGACTGTGTTTATGTTAATTCCAGCATCTTCCATAGGGACTTATTTTGGAAAATTTCAATCCTATTCCAGTGAGCAGAAGCGGGGATTCTGCTTTGAGCATTTATTACGGACTGTGGAGACGGACACAGAGCCATAAGCCAGCCTGTGGCCTTTCATGAGTCTATGCAGAGATCTAGGCTAATGATTTCTGCAGACTTGGAAATAGTTACCACCATGCAGATTTTTGTCAAATTCACTATTTTTAACCTCGGTATACTGCTTCTCATGAGACACATGTGCACTCAAAATACCTTAAAATAACTGATTTTGGCCTGGTTTCACAGACAGGGCTTAGATTAAGCCAGGATTAGGCCTTAGTTCAATCAGGACATTTAGTTTTTTTTTTTTTTTTAAATGTGTCTTAAAGAGAAAAAAACATTAGGCTAACAACTGGTGTGCGTCTTGAGACAAATCAATGTCACTGACATATTTTAAGATGCCAGTGCAAGTTGCTTTCAGTTAAAACAGCTTTACCATGCATTTTAGTCTGAGACAGACTAACCTTGTCTGTGAAACTGGGGGTTAAACTTTTAATCTTGTTTATAACTCCTAAGAGAACAGCAATGTTTATGCAAATTAGTTCATTAATTCCCTCCTCAAAATTTAGTTATCCATTAACAAAATCGCTCCAATAAACGCTCATGTCGCAAAAATGTAAAAATACCTGCAGCAAACATAGGGAAGACTGGGGTATGTTGTCACTTATTTACTCCAGTCAACATTTCTCAAGGTAGGTTTATTTTTCGATAGAGGTAAGTCAATTTTGATAGACATATTTTAAGTAATTGCCAACAAAAAGGCATGCCTGCTGTTATTGCCAAGCAGGGGGAAATAAGGTTGATTGAATACATGGAGGCATGTTGTCATAATATACAGGGCAAGTTGTCACAGTGTGGAAAGGAAACAGCCATTGAACAGGCTTTACAGATGCAGTCAAGTCAATGTTAACATAGTTAGGAAAGACAAAACAATTACTAAAAGGTATATTATTAAACCTGTGGATTTCAACATTTTAAATGCTATTCTACTGACTTCCAAATATAAGTGTCCTTGTGCAAGGGACCCATCCCAAAAATGTAAAAGACATCTATAAAGTGTATAGCTATAGCATACGGTGAAAACGTATAAATATCTCAAATAAATTTTGAGAATGTTTAGTTTTAAGTTACATACTCATTATAATATTGTAGGCTATTTATTTACACATTTATTTAATTAATTATTTTATACACATTAAAATAGTTAATTACTTTAATCTATTTACATCTAAAATATGATTATTTTGATCTTTTTTCCTGTAAAGATTTCCAAGCACACGGTGTCCGTGACCGCCGATTTTAAAAAAGAGTGTATCTAATAATTAAGATGTGTATTGCCCTTATTGTGACAACTTCTTCCAGCAGTAAAAATATTGATTTTCAAACCTTCAAGCGCCACCTACCAGATCCAAAGGCTTTGGCGATGAGCCACGTCAAACTGCACGATATCTTGGCCCTTGTGAAATCATAGTGATCCACAGATTTGATGGTCGGCACGATGAACGTCCTCTTGCTCTCCTTGATCTCTGCGGCATCACCCATCTTGACATCTACGCGTGGCTGCATCACGTCCCACGGGACTATGAGATCACAGCGGTGGACGACATTCCCATGCTCAAATATGATGAGAAATATAACGGGTCGGCCCAAACACTCGTGCAGTCATATAATCCTCCTCTCATATATTAGTTATATACACGAAAACAATCCCGACTGCGATTCCAAGCGTCTGCAGTAGCCTAGTTCTCATCCGTTTCCCGGCATTATATCCTCAAGTTGGTGTAACGTTAGATGACAAAAATCAATATTTCATAGGTGACACATTCGCCATGATGAGGGATGTCACGTTTAATGGCGAGGAGAGGCGGTCGATGAGTTCACTGTTTTGTGTCATGATTTCTCCTCTTCTTTAACTTTTGTAACTGTCCTTAAAATCTCTTCTTCTCCCTGCGGTCCGCCTGCCGCACTGGCCTGGAAAAAAAGTCGAAAGATCGAGTGCGCATGCGCGAAACGCCCAGACGCAGACAAGCAGTGCTGGCGGAGGTAGATTCATGCAGCTGTTAAACAACGAGATTTTACACACCTCATCTGTTTTATTACTTATCTACACTATTTTCTATTTGACACATCTATCCTTTTAGTTCTGTAAAAATAATCAAACTAATAAGCAATGTTTGTAGGCTAGGCTGAATAAAAAAAAATAATATCATTTTTGTTTGTTTTTTACTGTAGGCTAAAGTTGCTACACTGTAATAAAAATTTTTGTTGGTTTAACTTAAAAAATTAAGTAACCTGGTTGTCTTAAAATTTTAAGTTGATTGAAATGGAAAAAGCGAGTTGATATAATGGAGATTGATTTAATCCTCAGCAACTCAAAATAATAAGTTATATGAACAAAATAAATTATTTAAGTTGATTTGACAAAAGAAAAAAGTGTTGTGATAACAAATGTTGAATATATTTTTTTACAGTGTACAAGTGTTTGGGTTTAACTTGCTTTGAATTTTAAAAATGGAGACTTCAGATAATTTTATACTTTACTATAATAGTGAATCAATAAACCCGAATTGTGTGTGTGTGTGTGTGTGTGTGTGTGTGTGTGTGTGTGTGTGTGTGTGTGTAGGATTACTTTAGGATTTCCTTTGAAACAATTTTCACTCAGAAATTGCTAATAAACTTCACTAATAATTAAAAAAATGGCAAATAACACGTAAAAGGGAATTTGAAATGGTATTTTCTTGTTAAACCTTCTATTAGCCTATCTGTTTTATTTACAACGGTTGTTTTGCACAATATTCATTATATAAATGTGCAAGCCTATATTTATAAATGTTGCATCTGTTGGTGTTGACTCACATTGAGTGATATGAAAAGAAGAAATGAAAAGAGACGGCATCCAAACATGAATAACTCTAAACATGTCAATCAAATAATCAAAAATAATTTTTGATACAAAACCTTCAGTTGTTTTTCTAAATGTATATTCATATCCTTTGAGACTGATGAGGCGGAGTATTGACTGACAAACTGTGATGTTGAGGCAGATGTGAATCTTCAGCCTGAAGACTTCAGGTTGTATTAGCAGCAGCAGGAGTCATGGATCGGCTCTCTCAGACAGGAAGGGGTGTGACCACGTCTGTGGCGGCTTCTGACTATCAGCTCTGGAGAATAGCTGTAATTACTGCTACCCACACACAAACACACACACAAAAACCTTTTTCATCAAACACACACTCACACTAGTCTTGCATGTGTGAGGGAGAGAGGCTCCTAGTTCTCTAGCAAGACTGGAAGTCAATTTTAGAGGGAGGGAGGAAGGAAGGGAGAGAGGGAAAGAGAGAGAGAGAGAGAGAGAGAGAGAGAGAGAGAGAGAGAGATAGAGAGAGAGAGAGAGAGAGAGAGAGAGAGAGAGAGAGAGACTTTTTTTGACTTTTAAATTACATTTTATTTTACATGATCGACTTAAAATACTCAATTCTTCTTTCAAAGAATACCTTCCAACTCAAAGAAATGAAAGAAAAAAAATAAAAAAAATAATTAAAAAATAAAAGGGGGAAAAAAAGAAAAAAATATATACATATATATACATACACATACACATACACACACACATACATATATATATATACATACATATACATATATATATATATACATATATACATACACTTCAATCTTTATGCAACTCCAAAGCTTATCTGATAGCCTTGCCCTTCATCGGGCTTACACAACAGGCCTTCTGTTCCCCACATCAAAAAAAATTTCTCAATATCATTTACCATTTCATAGTAAGCAAATTCCAGCATCAAACGTCCCATTACCAATCCTTTAAGCATAAGCACTGGATCGACTCCTCTTAAATTGAGAGTCTTATTTTTTCTAGTTAACCAAATTGCCATCTTCGCTTTACCAAAAATAAAATTCAATAATACTACTTTTTGTTTATTTTTAGCACTATATTTTGGTCCAAATATAAATAAACCATTAGTAAACAAAAAACCTAAACTCTGACATACATCTTTTAACAAACAAAAAAGTTCTCTTAATCTTGAACATTCAACAAAAAGGTGATTAACTGTTTCAGATTCCCCACAAAAACTACAATCAACACTATGTAAAGGATCCAGATGTGCTTTGTATCTGTTTGTGGCTATTCCCCAATGTACAATCCGCCACTGTAAGTCACCTAGTCTTTTTTCGATGGGCTTCTTATACAGGGACCTCCAACTACTTCTCGGGGAAGAGCCTGGCTCAAGAAATCCAGTCCATTTTGACTCCATCACTTTGTCCAGAGCCCTTAAATTAAGAACTTTAACACAAATAAGATACAGGGCTTTCTTAGAAAGAAGTTCAAACTTTCCAAGCTCAGGTGTTCTAAAAGTTAGTAAACACCCTTCAGTTTCCTCCCAATCTCCCACTTCAGCAGTCACACGTAATTCAGGGAACAGTCCATCAAAACTCTCCAGGTGTAATGGTTGAAGACTAAAAAAGTTCTTTATCTCTTCCAGCAGTCTTTGGAGAATTCGAAGAGACCGGATGTCTGTTCTAAGATGCAGCTCTTCCGCTGTAATCCACTGGTTGCCATCTTTTAAATGTCCAATTTTACATATGCCGGCTTTTATCAAATTAGTGCGAAGAGTACCTGAATTCAGAAGCTCAATTGACAAAAGTCCATTAAAAAATAAAGGCTCTTCCAGGTTCCAGACGTTTACTCTTCCCACAGACAGAAACTGCCACACTTGTAAAGCAGAAGCATAAAAAGGTGTAAGTCCATTAAGGTCCATATTCTTTAAGTCCATTAAAAACAGATGTCGGTCAAGACCCAGACGGCCAACCCTCTTCAAGAGGGCACATGCCACTTCCATCCAGTTCTGGTCTCGATGATACAGAAACCTCTGGACAGTCTTTAGACGAAATGCCGCATACCTGGACTTAAGGTTGATTAAGCCTTGACCTCCTTCCTGGACTGGTAGATACAATACAGCTTCTTTCAGCCAGTGCCTTCCAGACCAGAAAAAATTAACAAGAAGTCTCTGAATGTCCACAAAAAAATCCATTGGTGGCTCTAAAACATTAAGCCTGTGCCACAGGGTGGATGCCACTAGATTGTTAATCACCAGCACTCTTCCCCTGTATGATAGTTGAGGTAGCAACCAGCTCCATTTAGATAACTTAGCACAAACTTTATCCTTTACATTCTCCCAATTCTTTTTTTGAAACTCTTCATTACCTAAATAAATCCCTAAAAATTTTAGTCCAAATTTTCCCCATTTTACATTTTCAGAAATAAAAGGTAAAACCTCTGTTGAATGTCCATTACACCACAATGCTTCAGTTTTACTCCAGTTTAACTTAGCAGATGATGCTTTTTCATATAAACAAAGGCAGTTCTTGATTTTGTTTACATCTGCTTGGGTCTTAACAAAAACAGTAATGTCATCTGCATAAGCCGTCAACTTAATTGTATTATAAATACTGTTTCCAACACAAACACCAGACACATTTTTTCTTAATAAACACAACAAAGGTTCAACTGCTAGTGCATACAACTGACCAGACAGAGGACATCCCTGTCTGATTCCCCTTTGCATTCGTATTGGCGAACTTAAGTCTCCTCCAATTTTCACTAAACATGAAGCATTTTTATACAAAATTTTAATCCAAGAAAGAAAAACATCACCACACCCAAAAGCTTTTAAAGTTTTAAATAAATAATCATGATCTACACGATCAAATGCCTTCTCTTGGTCTAATGATAAAAGGCCTAAATTGATTCCATTTAGTTTACAATAATCTAGTAAATCTCTAACCAGAAATATGTTATCATAAATAGTTCTATCTGGGATACAATATGATTGATCCTTATGAATAATATCACTCAAAACACACTTCAACCTATTCACCAAAACCTTTGCCAATATTTTATAATCATTAGTGAGGATAGAAACAGGTCTCCAGTTCTTTAAGAGACTAATGTCTCCTTTTTTTGGAATAAGAGCAAGGACAGCCCTCTGACAGCTCTTAGGAAGTTTTTGTTCTTCATAACATTTCTGAACAACCTCGTAAAAGTCTTCACCTATAATTCCCCACATGACTTTATAGAATTCCACCGGCAGACCATCAATACCTGGTGCACGACCGGGCTTCATCTGTTGCACAGCTTCAGTCAGTTCTTGAAAAGAAAAAATACTGTCCAAACTTGCACGTTGTTCACCACCAATAGTTGGAAGATTTTCTAACAAGTCCAAAGTACTCTGTGAGTCACACATATCAGCTCTAAAAAGATCTGAATAAAAGTCCACAGCAATTTTCCTCATCTTTTTTGGGTCAGATGTTTTAGACCCATCTGGGGATGTCAGACAATGCATCACACTCTGTTTTTTTGAGACTTTTTCAAGATTAAAAAAATACGCAGTTGGTGCATCCATGTCATTAACTGACAAAAACCGTGACCTTATTAGTGCACCTTTTGTTTGCACTTGTAATAGAGACTTAAGAGAAACCCTCTTCTCACACAAATTCTCAGCCATCACTGTATCTGGTTGCTGCACCATATTAGATGTAATTTGTGCTATTTCCTTCTCTAATTCACTGATTTTTTGCTTAGTCTTTATGGTAGAGAAAGAAGAAAACTGCTGACAAAAGATTTTAATTTGTGTTTTACCCAATTCCCACCACTGAATTAAATTTTCGTATTCCCCTTTCTGAGAAACCCAAGACTCCCAAAAAAAATTAAATCTCTCAAAAAAGTCCTTCTCCTGTAACAAACGAACATTCAATTTCCAATAAGGACTTTTGCACTGAGTCTGTGACAAAGTCAAATTACACGTAACAAAATGATGGTCTGAAAAACAAACAGGTACAATATTTGCAGCCACAATCCTATTATTAGTTTTTTTACAAACATAAAATCGATCTAATCTAGCTGCACTTATTCTCTCTTGTGAAACTTTAATCCAAGTATA